TTCTGGAAGAAAATTAGATATCGATTTTACTCACATGTTTGACATTTGGCTTTCATCAAAGAGAATAATTTGTGTTTTCATGTTTTTCTTAAAGAAATTTTGTAAGTGCATATTTATGTATCTACATAGATGTGTTAGTAGATAAACAGGTTGCTGATTTTTCATTTTAACTAACTTTTTTACCAGTTTTATTTATTATTAAGGAGGAATACGTACGACCTATTCAATGCCAGATCTTGATGCCCTTTGGATATGTTGTAGGTCTATACGAGTGTAGAAAAAGTGAAGGAGGGTTAAGGTCCATGGGCCCTAGTTCGCCAGCCACACCCCTTTGAAGGGGCGCCCAATGCCAAACTAGCCGCACTAAAAAATTCGCCAAAAATTCAATTTTGCTCGGATTTTCAAAATATTTACATATTCTATCCCAGATAGTTGCTTTATCATATCCAATATCAAACCCAACTTTTTTGAAATTTCACACTTTTTCGATACATACCCCTAATCAGAAGATTTTAAAAAAATTGAAAATTTGAAAAGGGTCGAATTTGATGTTGGATATGATAAAGCAACTATCTAGGATCAAGAATATGTAAATATTATGGAAATCCGAGCAAAATTGGATTTTTGGCGAATTTTTTAGTGCGGCTAGTTTGGCATTGGGCGCCCCTTCAAAGGGGTGTGGCTGGCGAACTAGGGCCCATGGACCTTAACCCTCCTTCACTTTTTCTACACTCGTATAGACCTACAACATATCCAAAGGGCATCAAGATCTGGCATTGAAAAGGTCGTAAGTACTCCTCCTAAGTTCAGAGAGTTAGGTTAGCCAATTTTTGGCTATACATATTATTTAAATTTGTAAATAATTGCAAAAATGAAAATTTTAGAACCATAGGTACATATTTACATACGCATTCAGGGTTCATTACATACAAATGCTCTTATATTTTACCAATTTGGTCCACTTTTTCCATCACAGCACGTTGGTCCGGAATACTGAATTTCTTGGCCAAAACCTATTCTCACCGATTCAAAAACGAAGTACCCCCTTCAGTACCTTTGACATAGATGTTCAACTTCGGAAAGTTTCATTTGGATTGTTCAACCGGTGAAGACGTGGCGTATACTCAAACTTGGCTGATAACATTGGGCTAAATGGGGAAAACTTCAAGTTGAAAATCCTGCCTATTCCTGTGCTTTTCTGAGGAACCGTAAATGTATTATTAATCCCCCATATCTAATCTACAAAAACTGCTGCCACCAGCTGCCACCATTACAAATAGGCAGAGAGATTTGAATTTATGTAATTGAAAATTGCCATAAGCAAAATATCTGGAATGCTCCAATCATTGTCACGTATGAAATTTTCGAGTGTTCCAAATAACACAATCGCTTCGAAATATCTTGCCCAGTCCTGGGGGAAGGAAATATGGTAAACCAAACCCCTCTAAAAAATTTATTACGAGCAGGGGGATTTTATGAAGTGGTGACCCCCTGATGAGGCATAACTAAATTTATAATTTTGGTCCTATTTTCTTTGTTAATTAAGTTAGAGGACAGAAATACTTCATAAAATTATATAATATTGTCATTTTATGAAAATACATCCTCAAAATTATCAAAACAAAACTTTCAAATTTGTATTTTGACCACACCCCCTGGCAGTGGGTGTGCCGATAATGTCCAAATAATGGTTGGAGTTGTTTAGAGCTTGATTAGACCTTTCAAATGACACCCCACTTGATGGGGTAATGCAAGAAAATAAATATTCACCTGTGACCACACCCCCAAAGGGGTGTGGCTTCAATAAGAGTTGCATAGCTTATACCCATTGGACCTTCATATCTCGATCCCCGAAGGCAGAACTCGAAAAAATTAAATGGTTCGAGAGCTAGAGGTTTTGGCAAACAAATAAAGCAATCCGGACCACTGTGCACAGTGGTAAAAAGGGGTAAACTGTTAACGGTCGAGCGCGAGCTCAGCTTTTTTCCGTCTCTGTCGCTCACTCTCTCACTTCCACGCGAGGGCATTGACCCCGCAACCCTTCATCCGCATTTTTCATCAATAATTCCGAATTGTTATATTTTTAACTATAAATTTCCCCCAATTTCGTAATGTTATAAACAAAATTTATCTTAATAGAAAGTATCAACACTCTGTTGTCAAATAATTTTTATACCTTGTTCAGAAAAGTTTTGACTGTGACGATAAAGACCCTATGCAGACCAGAGGATTGCAGAAATTCTTGTCCAAAAATCTTATCAAATTACGAAATTCCGGGTGAATTAATTTCAAAATTTATAGTTAAAAATATAACAATTCGGAATTATTGGTGAAAAATGCGGATGATGAAGGATTACGACGTCAATTGTCGTCAATATCTTCGCGTCGGAGCGAGAGAGTGAGCGACAGAGACGGAAAAAATGACCGTGACTCGCGCTCGACCGTGCATTGAAAAATCAAGCATTTTTGCGAACTTGCGGCGCCTATAAAGTGGCGAATTTTGCGCATCTGCTCAAGTGCCAAACCAAATGTTGTTTCTAAAGACTTGGTCTTCCAAACTAACATGGTCAAAAAGTTATCTGCGCTGAACATGGTTTGCGCCTCCATTGTAAATGATATTTTTTAACAATATATTACATATGTACATACTTACATAATACCTAGTTTAACATAATATTTATCATCTTCATCAACATTTCTCTCTAGGTAGGTAGGTAGGTAGGTATTTATTAAGTTCGATTGATGTGGCCTCGGCCTTTACAATCATACATATTTCATTCTTAAATATAATTAAAGTAATTTAAATATTAGTTTAAAATAATAATTCTAATTCATTAATCAATTAATCATCAACATTTCTCTCTAATTAAATAAATAAATCAATAGTTACACAAGTAATTTCTTCTCCAGGGTATGAATGCGACTACAGTGGCTGACCAAATCTTGAAAAGCGACGTATTTGTTAGCACAAAAATAGCATTCATGCTTCTTACTATCGTGCCGTTTTTCATGTCGTGCTAAATTGCGCTTCGCGTGAGTCCTGTACTCGCATTTGTGGCAGGAATGAATTTTCTCCTTGTTCGCGGGGTGTACCGCCTCCACGTGGCATTTCAACACATTAGATGTCGAGAACCTTCTTCCACAAAATTGGCAGCAATAATTCCTCTGGTTCTCATGAAGAACGCTGACATGGCTATTTAACCCAGAGCCACTAATGAAAGTCTTGGGACAAAGTTTGCACTTGAAAATCTTTCGTGCAGATTTGTCCAAATGGATAAGTAAAATAAGTAACAAACTTCGGTGAATTTAGTTCAAATTTTTCAAATTTTGTAATGGGAAAAATTGGCAAATTTCCGTAGTTACGCAATTTTTGCTTCTGAAATTTACTAAATGAGAAATTTCAAAAGGCAAGGCATGGGTAGCTAATGGAGATTTATTGATTTTTCCTATTGTAAAATTTTCCATGTTTATGAACAATATTTTTCGAATTATGTACATAAATATTAGCTCTAGCGATGCGCCAGTCAATTATTTATCAAGCCAATTTTTTTGCCAACTTGCGAACTTTATTTTTTTGCAAACGTTGCTATAACGATAACAATGGATATTATAACGATGCGAAATCGAAATGAATACCCTCAAATACACATCATGTTGATTTATTTAGCTCGTGAAGTTTCATGGCTCCCATTTGTGCGAAGCTTCTCCCACAAGTGTTGCAATTGAACGGCTTCTCCGTCGTGTGGGTGAAAATGTGACCCTCAAGGTTTGACCGTAATTTAAATTCTTTACCGCAAAGTGGGCATGGAAACTTGACTGGATTTTCGGAGTGTTCGGTTTTCACGTGTTGGGAAAGATACCGCTGTTTTAGGTAGGTTTTCTCACAGCCGGGTAATGTGCATGGGAACCGAGGTCGTTCCTTCGGTCCGTGCACGTCGTCCATGTGTCTTCGTAGATTGCGGGGATCGAAAAACGTCTGATGACAAACATCGCAATGTGGACGTTTCCGGTTGGTGTGAACTCTCCTTATGTGGCCAAGGTGACCGGGTTTTTCAAAACTTTCCCGCAAGCCTATGTGCGTTGTAAAGTTAGCTGGCGGTTTAATTTAAATGTAGCAAACTTTAGTTAACCACCCTTCAACGAGTGTGATTAACTACGAGAAAATGCATTATATCAGGGAAGCTATGTATGTATAAGCGGGAGGGGGAATTCAGGAGTTTTAATAAAACTTAAAAAAACTGTGAGATCCAAAATTTAAGATTGCGATAGATTGGAAAATGCCCTAATTTTCGGAAAGATAATGTTTAAATTTAACACTTTTGGTAGCTGTAGAAACTTAAAATTCCGACAAATTTCAGGCCACGGAGAGAAGATAGGGAAAATCAATTACTCCACAGAAATGACAATTGTCTTCTTCCAAACCATAACCACGATTTTCCAGAATGAAAATTTATCAATTTAACAATAATTGTAGGCTCACCTCACATTTCATCTTCGCGACGGAATCGTGTGTGACGAGATGCTTAGCAATGTACGTCTTGGTTTTATACGTCTTTAAGCACTTGGGACATTTCCAAGTCCATTGCTTCTTGGCCTGGACATCCATTTGATTCGGTTGAAAGATGTTGGTTAAGTTCACTCGCTAGGAACGGTTTAATAGACACTGAGGAAAACTAATAAAGTTAAAGGTTATGTGTCAGCAAAATTTGAACGTGGAAGAGAAAACTAATATAGAAATTTTATTTTTTACAGCTAAACTTCTCTTATTCAGCCTCGTCGTGCTTACAAGTATTACTGGATTGAATATGTATACATATTTAAATGCGTGGTGGTTCGTGTCCTTCGAACGGGTTGAAAATAAACCTTTTCATACCAGAGGATCTGAAAAGGTTAACATTTTGAACTCTAACAAATGTCGACCCTTCACTTACTTAAATACATGAACTCAAATAATATTACGCACAGTGATGAGCATATTAAATTGTACGGTAGAAAAACTGTTCTGTAAAAGTTAATATATTTTTTATTAGATATGTCATATGTGTCCATTACTTTAAAATGGAAATGTGTTTCATGCAAGTGAAAGATTTTTGGGCCTACTCACGCCAACACAGTGTTGGCAAGACCCGCATATTTCATTCAATTCTTGCAATTTTGTTCATATCTCAATTTACGGAGCTTTTTATACATCAATGCACAATACATTTTTGTTTAGCTTGTTTCCCTTTCTTATATTACAACATTAAAATATGTATGTTGAGTCGATTCACGTGGTCATATAGGTAACTTGGAAAATAACTTTTAAAAATAAAATGACGCCATTGATATGAAAAAGTGTACACTGATTTTTAAACTATCTAATTTCCTTACAAACATCTTCAAAAATTTATGAAGGATTGCAAGTTTGAAGAATTTACGAATTTAAAAATGTTACCAGTCACTGCGTGAATTGCGTCACTATATGAAAAAAATATGACACTTTAGCATAGCTACTAAATAATCAAGGGACAGCAATAATGTCCACTTCGGTTTCCACACAAAGTTCTAAAAATCTGTCGTCCGTGTGATAAATGATGGCACGAAGGTCAACCACTTGACCTGAGAGGATTTCATCTGGCGTTACGCTAAACTTGACGGTGTACATGAGATCCGGCAGAACGGCCGAGTTAGGCAGGGCGATGTCAAAAAGTCGATACCTTTCTCCATCAAGAACTAGGTCACATGCTAAACCTAAACCGGAAGCGGAAGCATCTGAAAATAATACAGAGTTAGATTACTAAATTTTTTAAGTAATTATGCAAATAATGATATAACATTTATACAAATTACGCAATCACATCAATCTTCAACATCTTAATCATAAGGACAATTCGCAAATAATAAAATTAATCACTTGAGTAAATTGAATTTTAAAAATTACGTAATAAAATACGTATTTCGAAATAAAATAAATTGTTAACATTTCCAAATTTAGAAGACTTGGTTACATTTTATGTTAAACTTACTCGGAATAAAGTCGTATTCAATGTTGTAAACCTGACCCGGCATTAGGGAGCATTTTCCTTCACAATTAGAAACTCTGAGCTGGATTGGGGTTCCATATCCACCTTTATGATTTATGTACATAAAATTTTAATTAAAAATTGTATTTTTTGCAAAATTGAAATGAAAATATTTTTTTGCAAAAAAATGTAACGTATGTAAACTCACCACATCGCGTAATATTTGTCACGACTCCGTTAATTGATTGGTCATTAGCGTCGATGGCAGCGCTAAAACTTGGTGACGCTGTGACCGTCACCAGAGCGCAGATGAGAACAAATTCGGCGAAATAATTCATAATTAGTCCAACTATTTTTTGCAATTGGAATCTTTGAGGGAGGGATTGAATACAAATTTGCCACCTGAACAGGGCCATATTTATATACCTGCAAATAATTGACGTAATCCGATAAGACACAAGTAGAAAAAATTCCAAGCACTTTTTAAGTTACCGGTAATATTTGCATAAGCGAGGGCTCGCTTATCCAAACCAGGAATTAAAAATTAATTAAATATTTGCTTACGTCAATTCATTAACGTCATACGTACAAAAAAGTCAGCTTATCGTATTGTTCCTCGAGGACAATCGGCACCGTTGAAGCGGATCTAGATAGATTTACGCGAGATCAATCAAACATAAGATAGGATGGATTATTGTGACATTTGTTGGAACGCACAAAAATGTAGTGATATTTCATACTGTAAGCGATTCAAGAAAGCAAATTGTTGCATTAAAATAGGCAAATTAACATAATTTCTATTAATTATACTCAGTTTACATGATAATTATGTACAGAATCAAAAATTCGGTAAATTCATATAAATAAATAACGTACTGGAAGTAATTTTGTAATGAGTCCCTACACACATTTACTATTAATTTTTAAAATTTGAGAAATTTTTCATTACCACATTACTAATCCGTAATCCCCTTTATTACTTCATACAACTGTAGAGTATAGCATATGTATGTAAATATGTTACGTCGGTAGAATCGCGGAGGTAGGAACTGCATGGTGTTGATTTCCAAATATTTACTTAAAAGGTGACTACCTTAAATGTCATTCAGCTATGGAGGAGAAATTTCAAAATATAATATCTCGATAGTAGAAAATTGCTGGATATATCTGCACTTGTCTCGTATGTTGTTTAATACTTGTACCCCCCGTTTTTCATGTTTTCATTAAAAAACGTATTCCTCCAAGTCGATTGCAGTGTGCATACAAAACGGAGAATGTTTTATTTGACAGAAAACAGTCAGTGTCAGTAGGTGAAGAGTAATCAGGGAGAGCAGTAAAGCAATTATGTACATACATCGCATTCCCCAACTTAATGTACATATGCATATTATTCGCGAATATTTGCAAAAATTGGGTTATAACTTTATTCATTCATCGCTTCAAGTCTCAATCTGTAGCAGTTGATGTACATTATGATCAAATGTGACAAGGAGTATACACAAACACAAACAAGTTGGTTGTTGTTTTCATATAAAGATTAGATATGTACATATATAAAAAATTACATCATCATCATCTTCAGACCAAGGGCATTTTGCATCATCTGTTGAATTGAATTCCTGCACTTTATTCTGTATTCACACTCAATCCTGCAACATATTATATTGTCCTAACTTTGCTTAACTGTCAAGATTTATTTATAACACAAAATTAATTTACAATGTCGTTAAACTTGGAGGGGAAAAAGTTCCTCGTAACTGGAGCTGGTCGAGGTAACCATCCTAATATATATATTTCAAGATTATTTCAAAATTTTAATTACACACTTATAAAAAGGGTGTTAACATAGTTTCCGGTACATATTCATGCCACCAAATTGGTCTTGATAAGTATGTAATACCATGTAGTAATAACTTGGTATTAAAATTTTACCATATCGGTAGCAAATTTTTACAGTTCGGTATAATTTTACTACCAAGCGGTAACAACCTACATATGTAGAGAGGACTCAATACTGAGACCAGCCTGGCTAAATATCGTAGATTTCTAACAGTACATACATCAGTACGTATATGAAATTAATTTTAATGCAGGAATTGGACGTGGCATTGCCGAGAAATTATATCAACTTGGTGCAACTGTACACGCAGTTTCTAAAACACAATCGAATTTGGATCAATTAAAAACCAAATGTCCAAACATGAAGACTTACAAGGTCGACTTATCAAATTGGGAGGAAACTAGGCAAATCATTTCTGCCATTGAATGTGTTGATGGTCTCGTTAATAATGCCGCAATTTTGATGGATTGTTCCATCATGGAAGCCAAATTGGACGACTATGACTTGTATGTATTTATGTAAAATTCAAAATCTAGAAAAAAATATTCTGTAACGAAATATAACTATTTTTTACAGAATTTGGAAAACCAATGTATCCTCTGTATTAAATATCAGCCAGATTGTTGCTACAAAAATGATAGAAAATGGAAAATGTGGCTCCATTGTAAACATTTCTTCCAACGTAATTGATCAAGTATTACATATACTGTTAGAAATCTGGTATATGGTATTTAGTCAGGTAGGTATTGACCTCACGGTATTAAAGCTGTCACCGCTTGGAGTTGAAACTATACCGGTCTGTAAAAATTTGCTACGTATATAGAAAAACTTTAATACGGAGCTATTACTGCACAGTAATACTTATCAATACCACTGGGTATTATTTTAATACTGGATTTCTAAGAGTGTACCCTTTATCTAAAACATGTTTCTTATTCATTTTAATTAATATGTATCAATTAATTAAGGTTGTTAACGCTGGTGCTCCCACCTTATCGATGTACGCGTCCTCAAAGGCAGCCTTGGATCGATTAACCAGCTCAATGTGCCTCGAATGGGGAAAGCACAATATTCGTGTCAACTGCGTTAGTCCTTCCATCACGGAAACGGATATGATTGGAGATTTTAAAGAACAAAAGGAAATCTGTGCCGAATTTATTGCACGTACCCCGCTGGGAAGACTGTTAGTCGTGGAGGACGTCAGTGGACCAGTACTTTTCATGTTGAGCGACTTATCAAAAATGATATCTGGGCAACAATTGATCATCGATGGTGGATATAATTGTTCCTGATTCACGAAAATATGTATCCGTGATGCGTATAGTATACTCTTACGTAGTATTAAAAATAATGTGACGCTTTCGAAAATCAAATGCACTCTGAATTCTATATCCAGTAAACGATACTCAATTCAGAGTTAACTTTACCCTTGATTAGGGTTTTACATTGTCAGTGTCAACGGAATAAATGTCATGTCATGTCATAAATGTCATGACATGTCAATTTGTCAATTTTTTGTCATAAATGTCACAGCTTCAAAATGTATGACATTTATGACAAATATGACGGACATTTATGACATTTGTCATAACTGTCAATCTCAATATACCCCGTGACCAGGTAATCTTAGCAGTAGCTATTAAAACTTCTTTCTCTCATTGCAATTCAACGAGTCAAGAAATGTTCTTGTTTTATCGCCATCCGCTCGTATTTATATATATTTAATTGTAAGTATAACGTCAAATTTAATTACCTTTCACAGTTTCATTGAAGAACTTTAAAGTTAGAAATTTCCTCTTTTCCGCCTGCTTTAATTTTATCTATAGTTCTCTTAGTTTGATTGCCAAGTAGATTCAGTCTCCCGGTCTACAACTGTAAATATTTAAATGTTGTAAGCATTGGTAGAATTAGTTGCAGTTAACTCTGCCAAGTTGATCGTAACTAGAAACGTTTAGAAAATATGCACCGAGCTGGCTGCAACTTCCTTTATATCCTGCTGGATGAATTATGTATCGAGTGAATTAATATATGACCTTACTAAACTCTGTCGACTACCAGTGGTCCAAGCTTCACATTGCTCTCATATTTAACGAAAAACATTTTATGTTATCCGAAAAGACAGACTTCAGGTCAATATAATTGGAAGAAACATGTCTGGAATCGACCAACTCCTCCAAATAAATGCTTCCAATAAAGCTGATGATCAGAGACAAACGGAATAAGTTGTAATTTTAGGAGCGAAAGTCAATTGACGACTTTAATTTTTGAATATTATATTAATATAATATTTCTAGTGTCGTTCGTAGTAAAAAATTATATGAGAGGAAAGAAGTGTAGCTGAAAAACAAAATATACCCCCTACGACGATTTTTTATTTGGGGAAAATGAGATAGAAAATGAAAATGTCATAATTGTCAATGACAAGTTGACAGAAAAGTTGACAATTTCGAATTTGACAAATTTTCATAAATGTCATAATTGTCAATAAAAATAAATGTCTGACATTTATGACATTTATGACATTTATGACATTTATGACATGTCAAAATGTCATGACAAGTTGACAATGTAAAACCCTACCCTTGATCAAGTTAATATTTCTCTTGATTTGATATAGTTTGCTTGTTCTTCTTTTAGAAGGGGAAACATTATACTTTTATTAATTTCATCCAATTACATCATCAATTTGAGAAATAATTCCTCCAAACATTGTAAATATGTATTTGAAGCCCAATTGGCATACCAGCTTTGTCACTGAGAGTGTATGGAAATTGAAATAAAATAAAAATAGTTTTTGTTATTCAACTTTAAAAAAATTTTGCAAAATTATATCATACATTTGACGTTCTCTTGAATTTAAATTTTATGACTCAACCTTCCCTTCTTCCATGTATTCAAATTTTGAAATTTTGAAACCTGGTCATCTCCGTGCGTTTTTATTACAAAATTAATATTTCGTTGCTTCTGAAAATCGATAATTTACAAATTTAGGAGGTTGGAACTTGATAATTTCCTTGTATGAAAATTTTCTACTTTTTTTCCTACTTTCTCATATCTCTGAAATCTTAATTTTGCCAGAGACGCAGGTTTCTAAATCATGATTTGAATACATAATAGTAGAAGGAAAAATTGGGACAAAAATCCAAAACCTGCATGCAACAAAAGAAAACTAGACAACGTTAAGTGCAAAGTTCGCCTTCACTTTGCGACAAACTTTCATATTTTTTGTGCACTCGAGAAATAAAATGGGGGCAGAAATTTGATTTACTTAATTTATGTAACTATGCATGATGATAATTTTACAATCAACTTATCGCTTCAAGAAATATGATGAGATAACGATAAAGAAATTACTTCACAGAATGATATCAACTTCAATTTCTACAAAAACTTGCAATTATGTAGCAATTACGGTAATAACTTATTAGTAATAAATAAGTTATTACTAATAAGATTAGTAAATTTAAAAAAATCGGTATGAAAAAATCAGAGAATTTAGTGTAACACTAACGCATCACATACGAGTCGCATGTGATGCGACGCGCCCCAATTATTTAAACAGGTGAGCCGGGATTGAATTCGCAAGTTGATTTTCATTCCCAATCAGCAATTGTTATTGAAATTATTAAATTTATGTAATATTACTGACTCTACATAATTAATTCGCCTATCTAAAATCCCAACCTGGCCTTACATAGGTGAAGGATTTCATAAAGTCTATTATAAATTATAAATACATACAAATTATATCTATTCTACAATTTATTAATAAAAAGTTATTTGCAATTAATAGGTCGGTTATTAATCTACTTGGCTTGCTCAGCGGGAGGTGTATTCAAGGAATAAGAAAATAGAAAAACAAGGTAATGATGAAAACAAAAAACATTAGTTTATTATCAATTGAAAATACAATTTGCATAAGGGGGGTATTCATGACAACTTCGTAAACGCCGGAACATTCCCCAACTTTACGAGGTTTGCGATAACGATCAGATTTTACTTATATTCCTTAACATGCGACACAATAATGCATTTATTATCGTCGTCAACTCTTTTTCGCACACTCGTCGTCAAATGGAAATTTAAATTTCTCGTCTCATTTTCACTTCATGTATTTTCATTTAGAATAAGTCATTCTCGACGTGAGTGACGTGAATACCCACAGTATTTTTCGATTTAAATAATGAATATTTCTTGATTTATGTAGATTTGAATAATGCCGTACGTGGATTCGCGCGAAGTTATCACCTGTATGATTGCCTTTCCATCTGAGGATGAGTCCCTTAATGGATGGTCCCGATGGTCTCACCTCATTCTTGGTTTGGAAAATGGGGACATAAGCGACTACATTCTGATCCACGCTAATTTTCACACCCTAAATGGAATCCTTCGAGACTGGGAGACTGGGGCCATACTCTTGTTAAAAAAGCTCTCGAAGGGCAGGATCCTTTCCTTCGGATTGCGAAAAAGTGACGATTGTCCACGTATTAAGATCTGGTCGCTGGATACCCGACAAGTGGAAGTTAACTTCAATTTGATGAATATGAGTTTCTCCGTGCTAAATTCTGTGACCGAACTTGAGGACAATCTCATCGCTATTTGTTGTACGTGAAAAATATTTTATTCAAGTATATTTAACGTTATACAAGTGGAACATAAATTGTGGGATTTATTTTATACATTCGGCACTACAAAAATATAATTTTCTCTAACCAAAAGTAACCCCCGTTGGTTCCTTTTTTGGTCCGTCCCTCAGTAATTTCAGAAAACGGTTGACCAAAGGCAAAAACATGTATTTGTGGCTATGCGTGTACATAAATGCATAGATGGAGCAAATTTGGTCGAGTATTTTTACGAAATTGTTGTACTAAATTGGTTGGACTTTTTGTTATTGCGCGAATTATTATTTTCGGTTGGGAAAAATTACATTTTCGTTGGACCGTTAAATTTGATTAATTTGAAGGCTAAATAATGTCACATAAAATCAACATTTTCTAGACCCACCCCAACCATATCAGGCCCTCGTCCTACCTCTCGCGTGGCCTAATTTGTGCATATTTATTAATTTTCAGGTGTCTCTTCCGAGGCGTATGACACCGTCCACATCTTCGATTCTGTAACTGGAAATTGTGTCCATTCCAATATTATGTATTTACATCGCGCACATGGCGTTCATCTCGCATCAGTGGCCAACAATTTCCTCGCCATACTTGGAAACTGTGAATATTTCTACACCTACAGCATCAATCGGCAAGAAGTGCGGGAAATCTGCAAAGTTAATCATGACAGATCCTACTCAACGGCGACACTACCAACTGGCGAAATTGTGGTGGGAGGGCATTTCTTAAAGATTTACACTGTATCATCCGAGGGTGAATTGACCCTTAAGAAACACCTTGATCATGGAAATGTTATCGACGTAATCATTCCAATTCATGGATATCGTGTTCTCACCGTGGACCGTGGAGCTGAGAGTCGAGGCATTATTCGAATCTGGGACTTGAGCAAGGAAGAAGATAACTGTATGGAGCAGGCTTATCAGGACACTGTTGCCAGCATAATTCAGGCTAGTGAAGATGAAGCGATTTGTGCCGCCTTGCCATCCAGTAACCTGATTTTGTTTGGGTATAAGAACGCCGTTTATGATTGTCGCATGGAAATTAAGAAGAAAGACCAAGTCGCCGAGATTCGGAAATATGCCAGACTTTTGTACCAAGCTTACGAGCAGAAGGAAGGGATTGGTTTGCTTGTGGAGGAAATTCTTCTGGATATTATTGCAAGGGCGGGCTCAATGGAAGGATTTGGATTTAAGGAGGCGAGAAAAGTTGGAGCCCTTTATTTTTGTCGACCGTAAAAGGAGGACGCGGGACATGTAAAGTTTCATATTCTGATATTCGAGTCTGAATATTTAATTGGTTATTTTATAATTTTATTAATTTCTGTCCAGTTGGTTATGATGTGGAAATAATGTTTTGGAAATTTTGAATAAAGCTTAAAAGTTTGACATATATTTCGTATCAGTGAAAACACGTATTCAATATCAGCAATGGGAGACAAAGTAAATGACAGTGAGCAATTCTTGTTAGCGTAATGAGGCACAATAAAAACTGTCAAAAGTTAAATTACTTATCTGGCCTTGACACAATTCCACCTTGATGAGAAAAATAATTGAATTTTTTAAATATAACTTCTAACTTGCTACTACCTATGTGCATAAGTAAAATTCACCTCGAATTACACACAAATTCACCATAATAAGAAACATAACGACATTTTATTGACTGCTATGCTTAAATTCTAACTTGCTAGTTCACACCCAAAATACACCTCGAGTTACAACCATGTCTATAATTTCTTCCATTATTTTTTTTTCCTTAAGCAGTTTTTATTACAGTGTAGCATCATTTATTCGTGACGATTGTGTCCTACATATTCATTCTTATTCTAACACTAATTACAAATTTCCGCCAATATACCAAAGTATTTTGCACGTGATACCTATCCTAATTTCCACGGGGGAAGAACCCTCCCGCCAAATTGGGTCAAGTTCTGGAAGTCCTCTATATTCTTCCAGATTACCTAATCCTAGATCCATCTCATCCTTAACGTTGCAAAGTGGCACGATAAAATGCATAATAATTTCACTTATATTGAACAATCTGTCTGAACAATCTGCGATTCAGGATGTTAGGCAATTCCTCACAACTTCAGGCTTATCTGAGGATGAGCATGCCACATTTTTCGTTCATCTTCTTAACACGTCTCATATTTCATTGGAAAATATCGATAACGAAAAATTTGTTACTAATGTATTCATCTTGTTTCACCAGGACAAGAATGAAATTGCAACTATCAGCTATTTGCATATTTTTCATTGGCATGCAATTCTACCCCAGGTAAACATCTCGTTCAAGGAATTAATTACGATAGCTCATAAACACACCAAACATCAGGGTGTAAAATTTAATCAGGAGGTTTTGGTAACCTCTTATCGACTCGAATTAGATTATGAGTCCATTCATAATCTGCGAAACAGGGACAGCTACGACCTTGCTTGGTCGCAGTATTATTTAGGGGTCCGATTTTATATGCAGCTTGGACTCCTCTCGAAGGCGTTGAACCTCACATTTTCCAGTAATTCTACCATATTGTATAACACGCCGGGATTATATGTTGTCCTTACATGGGGTACGATATGCGCTTATGATAAGCTACTTATGTATAAGTGATATACTGAGGCATTTCACGTCAGTTCGTAGCTACGTTAACTTACAACTTACGAAGCTTAGACGAAATTAATTAACATTTCAAATCCAATTGTTGCTTATGAACTTACAAAACCTTACGATGATAAAAGGCATGTTTTTCTTAAGATGATCTTCGGAAACTAAGGTTGTTAAGGGTTTACGAATGACGTGAAATGCGTCAAGAATTTGAGTACGGTGTGATTTTTGTGCTTGTCATTTCATTTGCATATTATGACGCATTAGCGAGAGACGAAGTTTATTCAACATGGAAAACCTAAATGGGCATACTGAGATTTATATATGCAAATGAGGTGACACTCATAAATAACTCCACTGTATATATAAATACAAAAAAATCGATGCTTATTGTTTGCAGGTATGGAAGATCTTCTCACCTATGTGGGTCGTACTGGGTGGGTTGGAACCCTTAAAATGCTTTTAATAGACCAAGCCGAGAACCATTTTTTGTACTGTATACCGGAAGAGATGCTCAAATATTCAGAAACCAGGATAACTTTTTTATTCGATCCGTTACAAAGAGAAGTTTGGGCTACATTATTATTATTCATTGTGATCGTTGGCGTTCTTCATAAAAATATGGACAAGTCGTTTCAAGTTGTTTGGGTCTTCTTGAATCAACCATTGAATATAAGGTTGAAAGGATGGAACCCCATTTTGGCCGTCGTAGTTTATTTTGCAGTCCTCGTCCTGAATAATATGTACAATGGAGAACTAACCAGCACAATAACGGCGCCATCGAAGCTTATTGGGATAAAAAGTTATACCGAATTAATTGAAAAAGGTGTGCACATTAAGACAAATTAATTCAGGTTTTTTCCTAGTTCTAAACACACTCTGAAAAATAATGCTACCCTTTTAAAAAGTAAAAACATTCTCAATTCTAGGATTGCTGCACTGTTAAAAACCTGGTCAGTAATGATTTAGTACAGGTTTTCTAAGAGTGCAAATTACACTAATCCTAAATGCAGCACAACGTTAGCCTGATATAGAGCAAAGTTAACCCTGAAATTGGTACATATACATACATATTTACATAGTTTACTTATTCTAGAATTCAGAGTGACGGGTAACATTATTTTTAAGAGTGTAAATTACATAATATTGCTAACATAGGGTACAGCTTGCTCACCCATAATTCATATGGACAAATAACTCCTGCGAATTTAAAGAAACACCAAATTTCCCGTAATTATACACAAGTCGTGGATCATTTAAATATGAAATGTGCCAACTTTACATCAGTCAACGAATGCTTACTCCACCATCGCGTAGCTTACTTGGAAACTTCAATACACGTGAAGACCCAAGTTTTGGAAATGAGTCGAATTAATTTGGGATTAAAGCGTAAAATGCGGTGTGATTGGATACCCGAACCCTGGACAATTATAAGGATACCAGTGATTTTTAGGTACACAAATATGTAGGGCAACCAAAATCGGTTTTCGATTTAACGGAAAATCGGTTTTAGATGTTATGAAACTAGCTTAGTAAAAAACCGGTTTAACACAATCGAAAACCGGGTTTAACACAATCGAAAACCGGTTTTTTTTAAAGAAAACATGTTTTCGAGGTACAATTTAACATTACTTGTTTTCCATTCATCGATTCTTTGTTCTGCAATAAGGTATTCCTGAATTAATGCCTAAATTTTGTTATACTCGAAGTTTTACCAGATTAAACCGGTTTTGAAGAAAATGGATTTTACGAAAATTTCAAAACCCTGAGAAGTCCAAAACCGGTTTTTACGAAGTCTTCCGGTTTTGGACGCCCTATATACATTTTTATTGTCATCTGAAAATATTTCCACTATTCTAGATCCCTGATGGGGTCCTCAGCGTACAATGTCATGATGCGTGCAGAGGCGTCAGGGTTATTTTGGAAATTCGAAAATGCTTTTCGAGAAGGTGGCAAAAGAAGATACAATCGCCCAATTCGAAACAGTGCTGAATTACATCGTCAAGATGATGAAACAAGGATGCAATTGTCGGGAATATTTATATCCTTGCTCAAAATTTATGGTGGTCTCTGCGCACTATCTGCGTTAACGTGGCTCTTTGAAATGACATTTAGAAACTGGTATCTGTAAAATTTAACCATTATAATTTAGGGTAACCAATAACAAGTGATAATATTTATTACTTATAAATACATAGATAATTAATATGTATATATTTAGTCAAGCACACCAGCCCAGGTAGAACAAAGTCAATTTCTGTATACTCTATTTGACTGAGAAATACTTGATTAACAATTATGTAGAAAGTACTTTACTTATAATAACATACTTATTACCAAGATCATATGAGAGCTCAGGGGGTGAGTCGGAAGGAATGAAATGTAAATTCAATTCATATTCTTTAATCGAACAGTAAATATATATGTAGATAGTTTAGTTAAGATATACAAATTATTTCTTCTCCAAGGTATGTTTGCGGCCACAGTGGGTGACAAAATATCGAAAAGAAACGAATTTTTTCCCACAAAAGTAACACTCATGCTTCTTACGATTAGCGTTGTGTCGTCTTTTGTGCATGGCTAAATCGGCCTTCGAATGACTCATGTACTCGCATTTGTCGCAGGAATGAATCTTCTCCTCGTTCGTGGGGTGTTTCGCCACCACGTGCCGTTTCAAGTGATGGGACGCAGAGAACCTTCTTCCACAAAATGTGCAGCAATGTTTCCTCTGATTTTCGTGCACAACCCGGCCATGCTTTAGTAAAGCAAGTCTACTAAAGTAAGTCAGCGGACAGAGGGTACACTTAAAAATGTGTCGTAAAGGTTTTTCCAAATGTGTCACCTGGGAAATAAATATGTACGCCTTTAATTTTCCTCAATATTTCATAGAAGAACGCATCCAGATATTTACCTCGTGTTGCTTCACGTCATACGATACGTCGTGCGAAACTCTTCCCACAAGTGGCACAATTGAACGGCTTTTCGGTCGTGTGAGTCCTAATGTGAAGATCAAGGTTTGTTCTCCATTTAAATTCTTTACCGCAAAGTGTGCACGGAAATTTGGCCGGATACTCAGTTTTTACATGTGCAGTTTTTATATGTCGCGAAATATGGCGCTGACTTAGGTATGATTTTTCACAGCCGGGAAATCCACATTGGAAACGAGATCGTTCCCTCGATCCGTGCAGGGCGTTTATGTGCCTCTGTAAAGTGCGGGAATCCCGAAACCCCTGATGACCGACGTCACAATTGAGATGTTCTCGGTTGGTGTGAACTCTTCTCACGTGGTCAGCCAAGGCGAGTGGGTTTTTAGAAATTTTCCCGCAAACCTAAGGAATACATTTTGAAGATAAAATTTTGAAAGGTTTTGACGCAAACTTATGTTAAAACTCACCTCGCATTTCACCTTTGCATTGGGATCGTGCGTGATGACGTGTTGATTAAGGTGGAATTTTTTCTTGAACTTTTTCGAGCACTTGAGACATTCCCATTTTCTCTCTGGCTTCAAATCCATCTGAATTTCGTTACAGCGAATCTATGCATCGGAATTTAGACTCGCTTAAAATGCTTTGGCTTGTCCAAACCAAGTTTCCCCGTCACACCTCGTCGTGTTCAAGACTGTTTTATTACTGAATAGGTTTTACACATAATGATTGAGTTCTAAGTTCACTTTACCCTTTTTCATGCCTAAAATTACCAGCCACGTTATAAATGGCTGCTTAAAGTGTGTTGTGTGTCCTTTCGAAGAATTTGGACCTTCCACTGCGTGAAACTTCCTGCAGGCTGAAATGTATTTACACGTGAAGGACTAGATGTGAATCCTTCCTGGTCGAATGCATCACATTCTTCCTTCCAGCACGGATTCATGTACATATGTACTGAAAATATATGTATTTCATGTTTCCCACCAAATTAGTTAACCAACATTCCATTACTAAATACATGTGCAAAAAGATCAAATTTATTCAATAGAAAAGTATAGGGTTGCCGATCCTATCCCATCCTATCCGATCGGATAATCCGACATTATCCGACACTTGTTATAACACGGATAAAAACGGCAACCCTAGAAAAGTACAGTGCAACACAAAAAATTGTGTACAATCTATCAGAAATTCGTGTGAATCCAAACTCCTATTTATATGTTTCCAAGGAAAAAATACGACAGTTATGTATGTACATGTACATATTCTCCAATTTCTGCAAGGTGATAAGATTGTTCTCTGTAGTGTAATTTTTTAGTAACATCCATGCTACGCAGAAGTGTGATGTCTTCTGTGGAAATAGCTTTCCAATTACGTATATAGAACAGAATTATTCGGTAGTCCGTCACATCATGGCATATCTTGCACTCTTAGGCAACTGGTATTGAATCATTTCGAATCATTACCAGACGGAGTACATATGCATATGACTCTACCAGCATCGGTAATATCGATAGTAACGGCGTAATAAGGTGGTGGTAATGAAATTATTACAATTCTGAATCAAACTACTACCAATCCGGTATAGCATTATTACCAAATCAATACCAGTACGGAGTACATATGTGACTCTACCGGATGCTTTACAGTGTACAATTGGTGCACCAATGATAATTTCAAGTGGTTATTAATATCTCATGAGATAACCATTTAATATTTTTGTGATGGCTACAGCCAATCACATTTTTGGGAAGGGATGACTCCTAGTTTGAAACAGGAAAGACAAGGTCAAATGTTATGGGTTTCGTACCTCAATCCCCAAAGGTCAAGTACCTCAAGGAAATTTTTTTGTCATGTTTTTATTCTTATGAAAGAGGGGACTTAAAACTTAAGGGACTTAAGAAAGGACTTATGAATGATAAGATACAACTCATACTACTACTAATGATACGATATTACTCATCATGATATTCTCATCATGCATATCGAAACTCTCACCAGAAAAATCTTGCTATGCAGATTGTCTCTGGATGATTTTTTACGCTCAGTGTGATTTTTTTAGAAAGCTCAATTTTGATTAGGTTGGTAAACATATATGTATGGTACAAGTAGGTAGAATAGTTACACTTCGTAAATAAGCATATGTTAGAAATTTGAGTAAAACTTAGAAATAAATAGAATAAAATAAACAAATTATATACATACATATATACATAACCTGCAACTACTAACGGTAATTACTAACTCGTAGTTGTTTATTCCTTCAGGTTCATTTTGTCCGGAAACAAGTTCATTCCACAGATTGTGCAGATAAATGTAAATACACGATAATGCGACGCATGTTACTAATCCTAAGTACATTGATCCTTATACAGCATTGCTGAGAGTGGCTCGTTAATTCATATCCCGTCATACTCATTCATATCCATGTATGTCTTGCGATATGCCAGAGAATACCCGGGTATCGGAGCAAAAGTTCACCACCCATTCACTATAGACTTGCCCAAAAACTTGGTGAGATGAGGTATCGATTTGTTTAGATTCGCACAAACCAGATGCTTTGCCATCCTCAGAAGCGTAACTTTGTACATATTTCATCTCTATTTCTGCACACAAAAATAGTTAACTGTTAAAAGATAATGTTTGCCGCTCCGGGTATATGTGCAATATCCACACGAATTATCAATGGATATTATGTTTTCCCAAGTTCGTCATTTCGTGACAGTGACACCAGCAACAAAAGTGAGGCTACATACATTCATCTAACTGGGGGCAGAAGGCAAAATGAGATATGTGGAAAGTTAAAGATCACTCAACAAATTGGGGACAAACTCTGTAAAACTGTCAGTAACCAGTGGCCACATTATGGTAATCTACACTTTATGAAATCGAAAATACTGAGGGTTAGTCTAGATTATAGAACGTGTAGCAATTTTCCCATATACGTTAAACAATGGCGCCAATTCCAAATATTCGAAACTTTTCTGGAAGCTCGGTTCAAGCTGCACCGTGACTAAAAAGCTCAATTGTGAAATTTTAAAGATGGGTCCAAAAATTGATCCCAAAGAGCTCCATGCCGTTAAAATAGTTTGCCAATCAATAATAACATACAAAACAATACTAAGCCAACTCCAGAATGAAAAAATTGTCATTTCTAATGGCCCAATGTCTAAAATAAAGGATTCAGTTGAAAAAAGGAACCAGGCAAGAAATTTGATGGTGCCACAATCGTCGAACGCATGCTCCCCGAACTGTAAGAAATCCGACGCTCGTAAGAAAAATTGATGTGGACAAGGCAATAATTTTTTTCTCAATTCAAAATCAACTGGCAACGAAGTGTCAGGTCCCTGGGCGTACACTGAATTGAATTAATCATCAAGATATGCACAACTTCAGCGAGGCTCGGAAGATATGAGGTGTACACGAAACTTTTTTTCTGACAGCGCTCGGATTACCGCCCCGTACGCAGCCATTCTTTTTTTAATATTCGGAATTTAAATTATTTTGCATAAAGATAAACTAGTTACGTCCGGTTATGCACTTTCAGTGCTTTAATTCTGATTTGAAACTTCAGATCGACACTTTTTTCAAATGGACATAAATTTTTTTATGCATTTTGCAAACTTTTAGATGAACAGTGGTTCAAAGAAAATTTGCTGCCGGCTTTAAAAGCTGGGATTTTTGGAAATGATAACTTCATTCCTCATGAGAAATGGATGGGGAATACGATGAAATCATTTAAAATATCCAACAACGAATGTTTCGCCCAAAAATTAATAGTTGTCGACACGTTCTATAATCTTGCCTAACCCTCAGTATGTGTACACTCTTAGAAATCCAGTATTAAAATGATACCAAGAGGTACTCACATACCAAAGTAATTCTGTGTAGTAATAGCTCGACATTAATGTTTTTACCATGTTTGGGTAGGAAATTTTTACGGAACTGTATAATTTTAATACCAATTGGTAGCAAACTCTTGCACCTAGAGAAATCAATGTCAATACATACCTGCATGAGTATTTATACCAGATTTCTAGGAGTGCACACAATTTTGAAATGCATTAACATAACTGTTTGTATGCAAATATATATTTACATTTATAGCGCTCGTGGTAGAATTACAAGGACAACTCACAACCACAAACTCATTAGGAGCACGGTGTCAAATTCCATTACCGCAACTTGTACCAGAAGAAAATTCAGAACTTATCTGCAATTCGAAAATTTTTACATTGGTATCCGGAGAAGAAAATGGTAAAATTTAATTTCAATAGGGGTATTCATCACTAGTTTAGAAAATTAAATTCCTGAGGATCGCAAAATTTATCATGAAAAGATATGTCTTCGCAATCGGGTGAATCCTTAGGGTTACTTTTTTGTTGGTAAAATATCTGCACCCCAAATTTTAAATTGTTTACACACATAAATAATTGGGCCCATATTTTTGAAGTTTCTAGAATGCTCGTGTTTTGACTTGTGGTGAAATTTTTAAATAATTTTTCACCCAAAATCAAGGTTTTCAAAACGCCATAAACTTTCGAAGTTTCACGCAATTTCAAAAAATTATAAAACTTATTTGCTCAAAATCATTTAGCAGAAATCAGGTATAATACTTACATTTCTAAGAACTTTTAAAATTAAAAATTAATCAGGTTACTGTAAGGAATTTTACAAAGTGCAAAAAACTTAAATTTTTGAGTGTTCAAAAATCAGAATTTTAAAAAATTCTAAGAATAATTCTGCAAAAATGTTGTTTAATTTTTAAAATCGGATTAAACTTAAAGTTAAAGCATTGTGAAGATCCTGATTTGGCTGAAATTTATTTAATTTCCTGCATCTGCATCCTGCGACATGCGATAACTCACGCATTTAAGAAAACGCAAAAATGCGTGTCCTCCTATTATTGTGCAAGATCAATTTAAAACTCGGGAAAAACCATGTTGTGCCTTCGCATTGTCAGGTTCTTCTCATTCTTGGTCTCATTACTTTTTCTCAAAATTACATATTAATAAATTTCACAGGACTCAAGAAACAACTCGACTTGAAAGAATGTCCTCGTTCCTGCCTGGTCCGAAACCCTGCCACGTTTCCATTCAAGCTTCAACTTCCCGAAAATCATGACCAGCTCCCATCCACCATCCAATGTCCAAACATCTTCATCGAGTACTTCCTGGTCGCATATCTCCGGACGGAACATGGCTACGAAGAAGTTGATAAGAGAGCTTTACAGCGATTTCGGGGGCACAATTTGGTCCCAAAATTCCCATCAATCAGTGAATCCGTCAGTTGGACCACCTCGACCAAAGCAGTCACAATAGTTGGCACCTCACCCCAGAAATTTTACAGGCTTTGGATCAAACAACCTTTTCTGTTCAATGTGACGCTTACATTTGGACAAATTTTTGAAGGGAGCATCTCCGTGAAATGTATTGTCTCAATCATACAAAGGATTTCGCTGGGAGGGGCGAAACTCAGAGAGACCGTCATCGCTGCAAAATCTGAATCCAAACAAATAAAAAGATTGAGCTTGACATTTTGTGGGAAGCTACACGAAGCAAGCTACAGCATTGGAGACGATGATAAAATGCTGCTTGCATCATTCAATCAAAATGAGGAAGGATTGAAAATCCAGCATTATTTGAAGGTGATAATACTGATAATTAATTAAACACGGGAACGTTCATAAAATGTGAAACGTAATAAACCGTAGTAACGTTAGAAGTAGCTCACCCTGTAATATACCTGGCACCTTTGCACCTTGGCTGCAAAATTATAGTAGTTCAACAAAATAGATCAATAATTTTTAAGCAGTTATGCATCAATGGTGCAGAAAAACGAGGCATAAAATAGATCAATAATTATTATGCAATTATGCATCAATGGTGCAGAAAAACGAGGAAGATGGCAAAGTATTTTGCACCACTGTTGGAGATTAACCGTGGTGGGTCAAATAAAATTTCAAAAAATTTGTGTCAAAATTATATAATAAATTCTCCCGGCTATTCTGTACCATTGGTGCGTTTTGCATCAATTAACCCAATTGTTTCGCATCATTTTGTGTTACCGATTGTTAGATACCAACGGTGCTATTAATTTATTAAAAAATGGACCTGATCCATTCTAGTGAGTATCAATTGATGCTCATCCAATTGTTTCGCATCAGCTTGGATAACCAACTGTTCAATGCGAACGGTGCTACCTATTCCAAAATTGTAGTCCTTTCTCGATCCATTTGCACAATTAATTCGCACCATTTGCGCCACGGATTGTTCGATACCAATGGTGCGCCTAATTTATTCTATAATGGTCAAGGGGATTATTAATTAGCATCAATTGATGCAAAAAACTCGTGAACACACAGACAGACGGACGGACGGACAAGAGGAATTCAATAGCTCTCGTGCTACGCAGGGTGAGCTAATAAGAGGGAATGCTTAGGTCAGCTACATACTCTCTAAGGATAAGATCGGTCTGGTAGAGTCACGGAGATTTTGATTTCTCGGTATTAAAGTTGATACCGCTTGGTATTAAAATTTGCCGGACCGTAAAAGTTTGCTGCTAAAAATGTGCCGCAAAATTTTAATACCGAGCTACGCGGTATTATCTACTTATTAATGCTACTTTGGTATAGTCATACATATATGAATACCGTTTGGTATTGTTTTAACACTGGAAATTTTAAGAGCGTACCTCTAAATACTTGAAATCTTATAGCATGTACAGTCTTAGGGCAATTGTAAAAAATGCGTGTTTTATGAACGTCACCAGACTAAAATTACTTACAACTTAAAGAATCTTTTAATATTTTCGAAATTCATTATGAACACAGTTCAGCGTCGTCTTTCCCGTGGATTTTTCTGACTCGTTATCCAACTTGGAAGGAGAAGAAGAGATTTTTGTCGGAACTGGAACACTTGCGGGTGACAAGGTGCCAAGGGACCAGGCCAAGGGGGCAGGCTTGTTCTCAAGAATGCGGTCACAATCAGTGTCATCTCTCCTTTCTCTCTTCCCTCCGTCATACTCTCGTGTTCCATCTCGTCGAGCTTCACTAACCTCGCTGGAAACATGTCAGTATCACGTACATATATACTAAGAAACGTTCATAAAATACGTAAGGAACGAATGGGTTAATGGCAGTGGAAAGGAAACTATGGGGACATTGACATTGTACAATAGGGGAGGGTTTAGATATATACATAACATAACATGAGGAGGTGACATCAAATAACACTTAGAAAACTGCCACTTGTCCTAACATTCCGCGGTCACTGAAGAATCTCCGCCTACTAAAACTCCTACATATCCCGCAATATGTGTTGGAGAGGGGTAAAAAAGAGTTAAGCTCTCGTTACGTACTTTATGAACGTTCCCAAAGAATCAAAGTTTGATGAGCAAATTATATAATTTGGATTATGCATATTGGTTTCAGTGCCTCCTCACTATGACGACATATTGAAAGAGACGACCTAGCTGATACAAGGAGCTCGACAGCTTAACATGTCAAATGTACATATGCATCTATTGTTCGCAGCGTCACTTGTATCATAAAAAATAGACACATCCTTCTATAAATTTAAATCTGGGAGATCACAATTATGTATTTGCGGTTTCTTGACATAATTTGAAAACCTTGTTTGAATTCCACATCGTAACCTCAATGTCCTCACTGTCTTGTCCAACTTCTCACGAAAAATGTATACTTATGAGTGTACAAATTAACAGTATTCATACTTTCTTTGGAATAAACTCTTTTCTAAAACCCTATTGCGGTCGAGGATGTTTTTGTTTGCTCCCCATCATGGTCGGGCGCGTGAGTTACATGTATTCCACCCTTTATAAAGATATTTTCGGTCATCTCGCCGCTGGACCGAAGGTCGTTAATGTTAATACGAATTGTTGTCAAATTTCTAGTCCCCCATCAGATGTGGTGTATCATATTTGTATATAATAATATATATATCAATATACAATATATCAATATACAAACGCTTATCTAATTTTTTTACCAAACTATTTTTTTGGTTTTCATTTATCTGCATTTGAAAAACTTTGAGCATCTTTACTGCTTATCCGTTAAATGTTGAAAACTGTTTTCTGACATTAATGCCGAAGCTAAGTACTGGATATAATTTATTTATGTATTTATTTATGTATTTCTCTCGAATGAAAAATGTATTCATCTCCATCAGTCAGTAGTAAGCGGAGTAAGTTTTATTCAACCCAAGATAAAAATCACTCAAAATGCTCTACCTGACCGATAAGGTTTATTTATCAACCAGATTATTACCCCAACTCGCATACCTTAACATAACTAACAGATATACATTATTCGCGAATATTCGCAAAATCTAAATATGTTATAATTTTATTCATCACTTTCATCGCTTAGCCAGGCATCTGTTACACAGAAGTCAACGAAAATGTTACACTCGTTGGAAATTGGTAAGGCTGATTTAATTGATCCTATTTAATTACGAGAGATCAGTGTGCAATTTATCATTTTAATATTTGGTACGTATTTTGAAACGTGAAGCCTTTATCCGATCATAAATTGAGTGATAGCGCAAACCTATAATCAATATTTGAAGGAAATAATCACAGATCATGACTAACGAATTTAATCAGTTTATGATTTAACTAATATTTAGATGAAAATTACGAAGTGAAGCTGCACTTTCTTGTTACCGGATATACCAGAGTCTTCCAGAATATCATATTTCAACGCAAATCTTCCTGGGAATCCAGAACTGGGCAGGATTTTTTTAATTTCCTCCAATCCCAGAAAAAAAAGTGGAACCCTGTGGAACTAAATTTACTAAGTAAGAGGGATCTCTCCACTTTAGATGCATCAATTTCTGCCAAAATTTTTCTTCTTCCTGGTTCATTTTGGAATCCTTATCAACCACCGTTCAGCTTCAATTCGGCTGAGGAGGATGCAATTAAGACACTCCGGCAATTACGTAACGACATTAAACATCGAGAAGGAATTATCGTTACTAGGGCTGAGTTTGATAATAATTGCACAATTGTGGCGGACAATTTGAAAGTTTTGAACATACTTGAAGATCAAATTAAATTAATTCTGGAGGAGACAATGACTCAAACTGTCGTGGACAGAAACAAGGTCAAGTCCCATATTAATCAGCTCAAGGAAACCTCTTGGAAATATAGAACCCTCGAAATCTTAGGTTATGGAGCCTTCGGTGTCGTAATTAAGGCCGAAGACATTCTTGTCAATATTACATCAGCCATCAAAATAATACCGGATCGACCCCTGTGTCCCCAGCTAGACGACGATATCGATGTTCTTCGCGAGGCTAAAAACTGGGCCTCATTAAGGCACGAAAATATTGTCAAGTATGAAAATTCGGACTATTTCCGCCTTTGGCCTCGTAAACTCAAACAAATTTTGGATTTTGATGGACCTGGAGGAAAGAAATTAGAAACAGTCGAGTATTTATCGGCCTTATTGAACAGTTCGGAAAAAATCATTACTGGATTGTACATCCAGACTGAGGTATGTGGCCTTACCTTGCGAAACTGGATAGTTGACAATGGTCCACGTGACTTGTTGACACGAAAAGGAATATGTCGCGGAATAATCGATGGGGTTAACTATATCCATTCGAAGGAAATTATACACCGGGATCTGAGACCGGAAAATATATATTTCGTTCACGAAACAGGTTTCTCGATTCCTATCAAAATCGGAGATTTCGGTCTTTCAAATCGACTCGCACTGGAGCACACTTCCATGACGCAAACAAAGGATTTGGGGAGTGCATTATACCGCGCGCCGGAAATGTGTACACCGCATCAGGAGAAGCCAGGAAAAGCGAAGTATGGCAGGGCCGTCGATGTTTACGCATTGGGTTTAATTATTTCCGAGGTTTACGATCCACAACCAATAACTTCTCTACTGTCGGAAAAATTTGGTAAAATAAAGTGGCTAAGAAATGCTGGAGAAAATATAACTAGAGAACATCCCGAAGTGGGCAAATTAATTGTTAAGTTGGCCAGTCAAGATCCAAATGATCGCTTGGACAAGAGCGTATCAGGGTGTCTTATGCCAATTCGTGCCAACTTATTCGCTACTACTTTGGACGTGTCGCCTGAGGATAGTGAGTTATCTGACGACGATGACGTCTTAACACGCAAACTATCGGCATTAAGAGTGACAGGATATGCATACGGTAAGAACTAGGTTTTGTGACCACGCTGGTAAACCAGCAGGTTAAGATTAAGACCAGTGTCCAAAATCCAGGTCTCATTCGCGCGCTCTCGCCTGCTTGGTTAGCTACCAATCAGGAATAAATCTTGATTGTGGGCACTGGTCTTAACCTGCTGGTTTACCAGCTTGTTTGTGATAGATTTAGGTACTCTAACTTTAGACATCTTTATATTACCTCTTTTCTAAACCTTACGTTATCGACATACATACAAAGTGCGTTTGACTGTGAATTAATTATTCGCTACTGTTGTTCTGTATTTTTAAATAACTAGGAGAACCTCGTGGCCTTGCTGCTCGTGGTTTAGACTACGACAGTTCATCCAGCTACAGACCAACTCCAGTCACGAAATCTGGACAGTGTAAGCGTTCCTATGTACATACATATTTATGTCCGTATGTTGATATCCGTGTTTCTCTTAAAAATCTAGCTTGATCAATGAGCAAGTACTTGTTTTCCCGATTTTTCTAAACCAGATAAAACCGGTTTACAATTTCAAAACCTTTGATTCAGTGATAAAGCCGATTTAGCATGTATTGTTGCATATTCACTTAGGAATTTATAGACATATTTTTTCAGAACAAGTTCCCAAATTTCCTTATAGGAATATGCTTTACCTGACCTATTTTAATACTTTTCAAAAACCATCTAAAAACCGGTTTAAAATGGATACCAGTTTTACGAAAATTTTGAAACAAACAAAAATATCAGAAGATAATTTTACAAAAAAAAACATTCGAACACCAATTTCGAAAAAGTTGCCGATTTTAGTTACCCGACTAGTCAAAGTTAACTCACGTCCGCGAGTTTACTTACTTACGTGTCATGTTACTCCTTTCAGGGCAAGGTAATAGTTCCAAAGAAAATCTGTCCAGCAAACGAGTTGATTATGAAGAAGAGGATGCTTGGAAATCGTATCATCGGGATCGCGTGAGATCCGAATCTCCCGGTCCTTCACACCGGTTCTCAGAAGGTTTGCAAACATTCGCAAACTTCGATGTATTTACATATTTACATATGTGAACCACCATTCTATCAGTTAACGTTCAGCAATATTCTGTTGAGTGCCACAATGCCCGTATTTGTATAACGATTATTTTTCACTTGACCACCGCGCTATTTTTACAAATATTATTTTGCCTATCTAGTTATACACATTTTATAACAAAATTAATTATTTAGCGACTAATTAAGCATATCTCGTTTTCTACATATTGTGTATCAATTACAGAAATGTTTTTTAACGATAGAGTAGTCCATGAAAATTTACCAAATTGTACAAAACGCCGGTGGTCGGAAAGACCGTTTTTTTAATTCTCTACTCTCTTTCGGAGTGGAGGAATTTGACACGCCAAATTATCCTATGCTGTATTGCTCTCCTCCTTTATTACTAATTAGTTTCGTGCACTTACTTACAGATCCAACTAGACCAACAGTTCATCCTTCAGACAGGATCAGTTTACACGGTGTAACACTAACTCGAGAAGTTGAATCCCGACCCAGACAATGTAAACATTTCGATCTATTTAATTATGCAGATTGTCTAACAACTCGCAATACCAAACGTTTATTTCTTGTTGGTTTTCATTCAAGTGCAAAGTCCGAGACAGCAGATAGAGCTTAATTATACGCAGAGGGACTTTGATAACCAATATTATCATGGTGGCATCTCATCGGGCTCCGACTACGCTCCCTCCGAGCGTTCTCCTGGTTCATCCCGAGGTAAGTACATATCAATGAGTAAATCCTGGTCGCACCAGCCCGTAGCTTGCTCGCATTGGGTATGGGCCGGTGCGACCAAGATTTACACTCTGGTACATATGCAAGCAAGAACGACACGTTTTCAAAGCTTATAGAGTTCCATTTAGAATGCAATATATGATATTCGAAAATCAGGTGAAAGCCTACATAGTTTTTACGGATCATACATACAAGATGAATATATGAACTATGCATAAACGTTGCGATCAAGACGTGGAGAGAAATATACCCGTGGGCATATGTATATTTAGTTGAAAGTTATTTCTTGTTATTTCTAAATATGTCGCAGTTTTACACTACCAAAAAATAGTATGCAGAATTTGAGATAACGCAATTCATACATAAGTATGTATTTGCATACAATTTACCGGCCGATTGGAGAATATTATATTACGCAGGTAAAATTTTGTTAAACCAGTTGCGTTATCTCAAATTTTACTCAAGTTTATCTAGCATATCTACAAATATTTTTTAATCGAGACGTACATACATACCTACATACAAATAAATTAAATGAGACAAATTTGTTTGAAATGGAAAGCACATTATGTATGACAGTTTAGTGTTTATGCACATTTATATGTTCCGATTTACTATTACATATGATATATGTGTGTATTTAAATATGTTAATGCACACATATTAAGAAGAATTTCGTTATTTTATTATAAAAATGCATAAATTAATCATTCCTCTAAATATAGATTACTCTGGATCTCTTGATGATGATGACGTTGGCTATGAAAGTGTAGACTCGGGAGGACACCTCTCCGAAGATAGTAAAATTTAATCTGTCAATTAAGCATTTCTCAGATCGGATTCGAAACATTTTTTTAAATCTTTAGATAAATCTCTTCTCGCTTTTCGGAAACTACTGCAGCAAAACAAACAAATTTGGACTGATCAAAACATGGCCAAGTTTTTTAATTTGTTGGAACGTACGGATAAACATGGTCCTAGGGATTTTGGCTCTGCAAATATACGGAGTGATGTGAACCGAAACTTATACAGAATCTGTCGTAGTCAACCTTCACTTGTGACTAAATCTAATTTAAAGAAGGTACTGAACAACTGTGGATTTCCAGATCTGGCAGGTAAAATGTAGTAATACATTCGTGAATAATGTCAAACTGTCGAATTAAATAAGACTGAAAAAACACAATTTTTAACTTAACAGAAAAAGTCGACAATATTCTATTTGGATAATTCTTACGCCGATGGGAAATTAATATTAATACATGTCACATTAATTTATTTGAACAATGGTAGTTAAAGTTGTATACATATTTATTAAGCCAACATGTGTTAACATTGTACGCAGACTTGAATATTTGAGCGGAACAAGTTTTACATAGTTATTTAATAAACTTGCCATTTTTAGCAATCCATCTTAAGGAATCAGATTGTAAGGCAACAAATTAGTTTTGCATATGGAGCTAGATTTTAATTACGATACGATTTAATACATGAAATTCAAAATATCACATCAAAGTCCTTAGTACAATAAATGCAAATATAAAAACATTGAATTATACTTTTGGAACAACACTTATGAATTACATATTATAATAGATTAATTGCATCGGAACTCATTTTTTCAAATTTGTAGACCATTTATGTAATAGGGAGGATAAGTTTGCGAAATAATATTGCAAAATAAAAACATGCCAGTTGCTGGATCAATTGCGGGATAAGAACTAAAATTACATGGTTAGCTCAATTTGCGAGATATACGAATGTTGACGTGAGTTCACTAATTACACATATGTATGTATGTATACCATCGATTCAGGGCAAATTTGACAATCAGAGCAGGACCTAGAGTCGATGGCAATTTTCTATGCTTAAAATTTGATTAAAAGTATTTATAAATGTTCAGAAATTAAAAACTTGACATTTAGAAACGATTTACTGCGACAAATTGACGGCCAATTAACTGAGAAGTCTGCAAATTGACAAATATGCATGCGGAGGTCAATTATAATTCTAGATGTTTAACAGCAAGCCTAAAGCTAAGGTTTATTTTTTTGGAACAATAAGTTTAATTACTAATTACTTCTAAGTGCATATATCAATTCGCAATCAGTTGTATAAAATAAATTGGGCAACATATGTACGTATGTAACAACTTATTTCCCTTGAACCTTGGTTACAAATCTCATTTACAGCGTAAAAGTATCCAGTAAATAGTTCCAACCAAGAAAATAGTTATATTAAGAAATTAAATTAGAAAAGTAAAATGGGTCACGTTCCGTTTAACAAATAACTTTGGCATGCAAATTACTTTCTCCTTGGAAAATACTTCCCTACTCATTTTCTTCCCAGCGTCCGATTACATAATATCTACATATTAAATAATCCGAAATGGTCGTCACCCCTTTAATGTGGAAATCATTAGATCGATATTCAAGATATTTTGACATATTGTGGAAAAATCCTTTGGAATGGGACGTCAAAAGGAAGACTTTCATTTTCACTCCAATATCTAGGAGGCTTGTCCCTTGGATGATTTGTGTTTACGGGTTTCTCAGCATTTTTAACCTTACTTTAATCATGCTCCTCATTTCGCATTTGTTTGGAGTGGCTCAGCTTGAATTCGTAAATATCGTCGTAATATTATGTTTTACTGGAGGGGCCGTGTTTACCACCATATTGGAAAGCCTACTCATGTTTGGAGGCAAGAATGCGGCTTACGCGATAAACTCCATGTTCGCCCTGGCAAAGAAATTGTGTAACGTAAAATATTTATAATTCAACATATAGCACACTCTTAAAAATTGTGGTACCCTTTTAAGAAGTAGATGCAGTTTGTCATACTAAATTGCCGTAAACCATACTAAATCTAAAGTGGACTTCACCCCTTATCAGGTTGACGTTGCTCAGGATTTATTAAAATTTACTTAATACAGAATTGAGAGTGGAATTATTTTATTTTTTCAAAAGGGTAACATATTCAAGAGTGTAAATCTACATAAGTATATAAAATTGCTATATAACCTCCATCTATTTAATTAGGCGTTCCAACCATCGACCTAGAAATCACCCCATATTTCGACTTGAAAGGAGTAACTCTCAATTTGACCGTAATTCTACTCTTCACTCAACCCTTTGTCGTCTACTTGTTCACCATGATCAATTCTAGTTTCAACCAGGGTATTCCGACCCCGGGTTTTACTGGGTAGGGGTTTTGGGGTTTTACTGGGTTTTACTGGGTCGTAAATTAATAAAACCCAGCGGGTTTTACTATGTTAAAGGGGTTTTACTGGGTTTTACTCGGGTTTTACTAAGTTTTATCTAAAATTCAAATAGATAAATCAATATAATCAGTTTGCAGGTGCTTATTTAACTCGAATTAAGTACTCTGATTAATATTTCGTAAATTTCTCTATTTCTTTCGAATTTTTGTTTATGATCTAAAAATCATAATGTACAGCTTAACTTGGAGTTTGATCAAATTCCTATTTTTCTTGTGTTCCTGGCATTTTGAATTGAAGTTTTTTGATAAATCTTGATAAAATTCATTGATTTAAATACGAACATAATACGAATAAATTGACGTAACATTGTAAGTTTTATTACTTCACCCCAAACATTGAGTAAAACCCAGTAAAACCCAGTAAAACCCCAAAACCCAGTAAAACCCAGTAAAACCCCGGGGTAGTTGTTTTCAGAGTAAAACCCCGGGTTTTTCCGAACCCTGGTTTCAACCCGTACAGTCAACTATATTTCATACTTATCGAAAAAGGATGGCAGATGGGACTATTTCCAAAATTTATATTTTTCTTCCTGCAATTTACAATAGTCATCCCTTCTTTTCTAGTAGCTCGTGTGATTTGTTTTATTGTTTGCGTTCCTATCTTATCAGCGTACATGATGCTCGACTGCATATCAACCCTTGATAAGACGGCGATGTTTTACTTGTCTGGTAAAAACAACGTTACGATTGATGCATATTTTCTGCGGTATGCCACTTGTAGAATAATTTATGCAGCCGGGGAGGAATTTGTTGTCACTGGTATTGGCATCGTAATGTTTGTCACGATGTGGATTAGCGTCTTGTTTAATATCATTTCGATAAATATGTATGGGATTATGACGCCATCGGCATATCCATATTTTCCCACCTTTTCTCTATTTATGGCGGGTGGTATCCAGTTTATCTTACCTTTGATTATCAGCATATATGAAGATAGCGTTGCGTTACGGGCCAAGTGGAGACGCATTTTAGGGAGGAGTAGTGACAAGAAATATTTCAAAAGAAAGTTACTTTCTACACGATTAGTGGCCGTGTGTGGGGGAATTTTGCGATATAACTTGTACAAGTGTAAGAGATTGACGAAATTGACTTTTGAGGGGGCAATAGTTAGTTACACGATATCGGCATCGTTATCGATTAAGAGGGGGAACATGATTAGGTTTGAATGAAATTAATTAATACAATGAGTGTTGCCTAATTACGTGCTATAATATGTATGCCCACAATTCTTAATGTTTGTAGCATCACATGAATAAATATTTTAAGCTTTTAATTGAATCGAATTTATTAAAATGCTCAACGTAATTATTACACATTCTGGTTGATATTCATCCTTTTGTTCATTTGCGAGTCAACGGAAAAGTCGGGAATATCTAGCTTAACTTAGACGCTTGTTGGTTTAAATCAGTGTAATACGGTTTTAAATAGAGATTAGTACATTTTCTTTCTATATACTTATTTAGTTACTTATGAGTAGGGCCAATATTGAATAACTTGGCTGACATTGCATATTGCTACATATATCTATGTTGATAAACTGCAAAGCGACAAATGTGTAATACATTTATTCATGTGTGTAAAGTGCATTCATCATTACAACTGAATTTATTAGTTAAACAGACATCATATACAATTATGTCTGTACTTAACTAACACTTTAACAAATTGGGAAGCAGTTGTGGAAAAGTTTTGTAGCGCCTATATTAGGATTTTAACAAGTTTGTCATAGTACTATTTTAATGACTTAATTATGTTCATATTGTAATAAATGTTAATGTGTTAATACGTACGCTATAGTTAGACAAATCAATTGTAAATTCAAGTAATTAAATGTAAATAAAATGTAAATGAGTCAAATGTGTTATTAGAGAAGAGATTAGGGCGATTCACAACTACAGGAAAACAAGATATTACAAGTATCTCGTTTTGCGTGAGGAAAATGCAATGCATACATCACTATCTGACGACCAGACCACGCAATGTTAGCCGATCGTTGAGGTTTGATTTTTTTTAACCCCAAAATATTTAGCGTCTAAAATTTACCGCACCCTAATGAACCAAATGACTGTGATTCACCTTTATCATATACATGTCGGAATTCACAAATGCAACCGAAATTCTTAACGACTGGACGACCCAGATCCTGATATTTGCATATCGCACGACATAACAAAAGCTGTTAACACAGTTTGGTCATATGATAAGGAAAATAAACCAGCTCGGTTGGGCGAGGAGGATCAGGGGATTTTGGAGCTAAACTACAATGTGCAGGATAAATCACTAACGACCGAATTTGCTTCAAACTTTGTGCAATGACTAAGAAAAATTTCTTCATCGTCATCGAATGTTTAACTCATTCACCAGGTCAACTTACACTAAAGTAAAGAAGGTGCTACTATTTACTATTGACAATTACTCTCCAATCTATGAAGTTGGATCCCAGATTCTCAGCCGAGGTCTAGACTCAACCGGTGGGACATCTAAAAGTTATTGAGGATCCAGATTTTCTCTTTCTCCTATCGTTCATGGAGGACTTAATGTGCAATTTTGCATTTTATTCTCTAATGCTACAACAGTCCGCTGGAGTGTGGATTGGAAAGTCAACTAACACCCATGCCTTAGCTACAGTAGTTCGAAATTCAGCGAATAAGTTAGCAGTTAAGTAATTCCATTACTCCAGTATTACTCCCAAGCTCTTTATCTTACATAATTTAGATCTTACGTAGTGTATATTTTAGCACGAACCACAAATTCATGCAGTAGAAACTAAATTCAGTAATTACAGGAATTACATAAGAATTGAAGTGTTGAACAATGCAAGATTGTTAAATTTATGACATATTTGATAAGACTTTATGGACTATCATATTTGGAATCCTGGCAACATATGGCCGTTGGTTGTGCAAAGATATTCAAACTGACAATTACTCCGATGCACATCATCTTACACGTCACGAGTCAACGGATGTGGCAATACCAATGATTGACCTCGTGGTCGATTCAGTCGGAATACAGCTTTTTGCTGTCGCAGACAATAGCAAAGTTAACTACGATTCAAATAGGTAGCCTAGGCGTTCTGCAGATTAAAGCTTTAAGACCTCAACAGCTGCAAATTCTAAACATAGAACAAATACAAGCATTGGAACCTTCGCAAATTGAAGGCCTTTTTCCCATAGTTCTATCCGCCTTGAACAACTGTATTATTTTTCACGAGATCAATTATTATATTTTGACTCAATACAAAAAGAAGGGTTTAATCAAGACCAGTTAGCCTATGTACGAAAAGAAACACTCCAGATAACAAACTCCACCAAGACCTCTACCAGAGACAAGATTTTGAAGTACACGAGGACAAGCGTTAGAAGCTGATCCAGGTAATGGTCATAAGGTGACAAATAACAGGTATAAATATGCATTCCAGACTTTGAAAAGTAATTACTGGCAATAATCTGGCAATTACAGGGCCAGAAAATTATCGATATAACCAACATCGAAGTGGTGGATATCATGCGCGAAAGCAAGCTATTCAGAATCCATTGTCTAACTAATCGCTTATCACTGGTTGGAAACCATATAATGAATGATATTCCTGAGTTAACAAAATTTGAGAACGATATTAAGGCTTTAGCAGTGTTCGTCAGCGCACAGCGCGCATCCAATGACGCGTGTAATCCTTCCGCAGCACAGCGGTAGCCAAGAAACTTAAAGTGTACAGCTTAACATATATATTTATGCAATGCTGGGCTGATTACGCGAGCTTAACGTACGCCAAGGTTCGTAAAATGCATGCATTGTTAGTTGTTACTTTGGAATCAATGCGCAGTGATAATAGACTCTCCCCAAAAACTCCAGCTGAAGCTGAAGGATTGCTGAGAGTAACTCAGGATGTTCAATTTCGCTTCAATCTGGCGTTAATGGAAGACATTATGGATGACCTCAGTTTCTCCTCTAAAGCATTTCAACGATGTGCAGGTATCCAGACTGGCAAAGGGAAGGATACTGAAAATATGGCTTCTATAGACGCATATCGTTTTGATGATAGTAAACTTATGAAAGGTATGATGAAAAACATACAGCACACTGCTACTGCAACAAGTTCGAATTGGTTGCCTGTTCGAACTGTCGAGGAAGCTGAAAAGCCCACCGGTTAGGATGGAATGGTGAATTAATTTTCTCCGAAAACTAAAAACTCAGTCCGAAGGTATCATAATAATATGCATTTCCCTAGCTCAAACTTTTTGAGGTTTGTCTTTTCCTACATCGAAAAGCACACCTCACTGTTACCGCAAAAATCCGTAGTCCCAAAGAACATACCCCTATACGGGTATATGAAATCCTTTGGTAACCCATGTGCTTCTTCTTTTGTTTCAAGGAGGTATACGACCAGTCCACGATATGACTTGGATTTCGCACATCCCTCCAATCCAAAGAAAGTCTGCGATTAGCTGTTCTATTTTTGGCCACATACTTAAAAATGCAATGCTATGATATTGAACGGATGGAGATAATGGGATTGGTGTGCGGCAGCATACATATGATCCTAGAGGGAGGATCCAATCAACTTTTGGGGTCAATCGGACCACCCTACCGTTTGGGGATATGGTCGGGGAAAAAGTTTTTACTGAAATCGAATCTACAGATGACATATTGTGAAATTAGGCATTCCCTTGACGTGGCACACCCCCTTCATCCTTTGGGTGTGGTCTAATTAGCCATTTGCAAACATAACATAGTTCCCTGCAGACTTAAAAATTTGTATAAAGCGATTATGGAAATGAAATCGCACCATGGTACCAACCATGGTGCGATTTCACGATAGGATTTTTCCACATTTCATTATGCACGTTCTATTTAACTGCAACTTTTGCAAAAGCGTTAGAAATTTCAATCATACGTATGTTACGCTACTTAATAACTTTTTATGAACTGCACCCGACATATGTAACTTATCCTCAAATGTGCTGCTGGCATAGGTGTATTTGTATGTAATTCACTATAGTTAGTATATACATAGTTGTTGTAACAATTATGTGTGTACATATATATTCCACGCAATATTTGGATTAGGTTGCTTAGTTTTCCAAAAGTACTAAACATATATGCATTTAACGTACATACATAAACATGTATCTTGGCTGATCGGTACAAAGCACCGAAACAAAGCTCAAGTGGGATAATACTTATTTGTAGTTGTAAAAGTTTGAAAATTTTGTATATGTATACGTAAAGGAGCGAGTAATTTGGCAATCAACGGAGATAACATAGCGTTAGTACGTAGTTTCGAAAAATTTATACATGCAAACTCCCAAATATGGAATATCTTGCGAATTCAAATATGCTACCTTACATTATTCACTAATTCCAGGAAAAACGAGTTTAGCATAAAAATGGTGTGTTTCATGACGTCCAGCGAAAGGAGACAGGTCTCCAGTTGAAAATGCAGAAGGAATAGAAGTATGCTTTTCATACATAGATAAGCAGCAACAGCCAAAACGCTAGAAATTAAATTAATTAAAATCAGATAAGTCTTAAATAAGTCACCATAGTAGAAATTTTATTAATATGAAATTGTAAGTATTTCAGTCTTACACATTTGGAGAAAATCGAATTTCTTCCGGTGCAGCTTCATTCAATGCATTATTTTCCATGCATTATTACTCACGGTCTTAATTTATTGATGTGTACAGCTTGGTACATATAAATATGCATCCCTGTCGACGGAGTCCTTGTGGCAAACTAGCCATACATACATAATATTAAGTCCACCCTAGTTGACATATGTACCACATACGCAACCAATTAATAAATACTTAAACATCTTACCAGGTGCCACTTGCATTAATAATCATCGGATTACAAATATTAATCCCGATTAGAGATTTGCAAGCCAATCAGCCCTATGTAGAAAAATATTTCGATACGTATTTGCACTACATTTTGACGGGGGTACTATCGATTTTATTTATGTATGTACATATGAATATTTTTGTACCTTGTCGTAAATGTGCCAATTAATTTTTACCAAGATTTAGCAAAGTAATGCCACACAGGGTGTCACACATTTTTATTATAATCAACAAACACCACACTTATTACAACGAATTGTACAAAATTTGTAAAATAATTTTACTTTGGGACAAACTTTTTCCCCGTTCCCCAGCTGCAGAAATCTGGGGTAAGATATATAACCGACTACACTCATGGTGTGGGTATAGTAATATACGCATACATACGTAAACAACGAAAAAGTACAAATAGTAAACGGGCAGAAAATACGCTTGTGTACATATGTATCTATGTATCCTTGCTCACAGTATTTTCATTTCCCAATGCTTTATGAGGTGGAAGTTCATACAGAAATGCGATGTCAATTAAAATATGTCTCTAACAACAACACTCTCTCTTTCATAAAGTTTCACTTGTATTGCATATGTACTTATGTACATACGAGCAGTTACATAACTCGCCTCGACACTCGAACTTTCACGAAAGCGATATTTACACGAATCCAGAGAGATGATTCTACGTAACATGTATGCACTGTATAGGGACATACAGATACATAAGTACATTGAATACTTAGTATCTCTTAATTTGTCTCCATGAATATCTACCTGAGATACATATGTAAGTGTGTAGCATCCTTCATTATCAACGCTCTCTTTGTTTAAGTGCAGTTCAATAGTTTGTGAACCTAAAAATACTTGCGGATATGTTGAAGTGACTGGGACGCTGACTATTCTCTTGCATGGAAAAACCTTAAATATGCACGATTACTGATGTGCACAACTGCGTATTTATGTATCTTTCATGAGCATGATTACATATTTATTTCAGAAACGAAAAGGAAAAAAATTAAATGAAATTTTCAATGTCAATATATTGGTATACAAACATGTGCGGGTAAAATTTAGTTTGAAAAGAAAGAGAGAAGGTCGAGGTTTTCATGTACAGTGTCGGACAGATGTCTACGTCCACATAGTCGCGTCAATTTCATTTTCAAATTGTCACTGAACTACTGAACCAATTTTCATCATTGATATATCAAATTCTCACAAATTTAACGTAATTTCATAGCACATTATTAGTTTTCCGCTAAAAAATTTATTTTAGGCCAGAGATGTATTTTAATTCAAAATGAAAACAATTGGATGGACAAAAGTCAACGTCCAGTAAGAGAAAACATACAAAAAAACTGTAATTTATAAGGAATGTTATAACAATTAATTTTTAATATTTGGTTGGGCCTCCGTTCGCTTTAAGGACGGCTTCAAGGCGTCGAGTCATAGAGTTTACCAAATTCTTGGTCACATCTTCAGAAATGGTTTCCCAAACTTCACGAATTCTGGATTTAAGGCCCGGAATTCCTGAAAAAGATTGTTTTCTTATTTCTCTTTCAATGTGGTCCCACAGATGCTCAATGGGATTCAAGTCTGGAGATTGGGGAGGCCATTCTAGCTTCGAAATTTTTTTTTCTTGAAGTATTCCATGGTGTACGTGGCAGAGTGTTTCGGATCGTTGTCTTGTTGGAAGACAAATCGTCGTCCAAGTCCAAGTTTTCGAACAGATTCCTGGATATTACGGTCAAGTATTCCCTGGTACCTGTATTGGTCCATAATTCCGTCAACAAATTCCATTTTTCCTGCCCCACTTGAAGCTATGCATCCCCACACCATTACCGACCCGCCGCCGTGCTTAACTGTGGGGTTGAGATTTTTTGGATTCAAAGCTTCTTTTGGATACCTCCACACTCTACGACGCCCATCTGACCCACAGACATTGAACTTTGACTCGTCAGTCCATAAAATATGTCCCAGAATGTTTGTGGCTTGGAAATGTGGTCTCTGGCAAACTTCACTCGTTTGGTTGCATTCCTCGGTACAATAAGAGGCTTCCGGACTGCTCTGTGGGATTTCAAATTTCCCTTGTTCAGTGTTCTTTGGATGGTCCTAGGACTAACTTGTTTGTCGAACATCTCCTTGATCTCGGTAGATAGCTTTGGAGCACTAAGTGAGGGTGTAACGTTGACTTTGTTGAGCACGTGGCGTACTTCTCGGTGAGCCAAAATGGGTTTTCGACCACTTCTGACCTTGTTTTGGACTGAACCATTAGCTTTAAAGTTCTTAATGATTGTCTGGATGGTTGTCCTTGCTAATTTATACTTGGTCCATATTTGTCTCTGCGACAGCCCCCTTTTTGTCCACCCTTCCAGTCCTGAATGACAAGATCTCGAATAGCGATAGGAATTTCCTTGCGTGTCGACGCCATCATATTTTTCTGGAAGAAAATTATTTAAAAATTAATGCGGCATATGTTATTGATAGATTTATTAAGTTACCTGATTTTATAAATTGGAGAGATTTTTGTTGTTGACAATTAAAGTGAAGTGGACGTAGACTTTTGTCCGCTCAAATTTCATCCTCTCTCGCTCTGCACTATGATTCTCAGTTTTCCCAGAATTTTCAGAAATAACTCATATGTTTTATGAAATTACGTTAAATTTGTGAGAATTTGATATATCAATGATGAAAATTGGTTCAGTAGTTCAGTGACAATTTGAAAATGAAATTGACGCGACTATGTGGACGTAGACATCTGTCCGACACTGTACATATTCTTATATATACATACTTACACATGCATACATTGGTCCATGCGTGTTTTCAATAAAATGTATTTTAGTGCATAATATTTATTTGTACATTCGTACCTGAAACACGCATTTTAACTTGGTGTGTCTGGTTTGAATTTATTCATCCTGCGTAGCAAAATATCTACAAAATCATGTTGTAGGCCGTGCATTTCGACTTATCCGCTATGTGGTTTGCCTTTATGGTTCTTATTATTCTACGGGTTACAGCTATACAGGTGAAATTTACACAATTGTCTTTTCCGGTTTCCAATAGCCTTTAACTTGGTTCACTCACAGCTTATGATCTATTGAAAGGACTTTATATTTAAAAAGACTTTTATACTTGTAGCCAATTTTTCCTTGGGAGTTAATCAAGTGAACGGAACCCATCAAGCTGACGTGGTGTCTTGGAACGGGAACGAGAACGTCAAACTACTATCTTCTCAAGACCATGCGGACTTTGTAATCGGATACAAGCAACCACTTGCATTCTACTATACAACAGGTAAGTATCAATTTAGAAGGAACCGTCTATGAATTGACACGTTGAAAAGTATTTTGCGAATCATAAAAAATGTGCAATTACCGTTCCTCAGCCACCACTATGCTAGACAGCTACTTAACTACTGATATTTTACTTCAGTCCCTATACAGCAACTTCGTTTGCAACAATGGAAAATCAGCTAAGGATCCTTTGTGCAGAGCCTCCTCCTGGTACAGATCATTCCAACTATGATGCAAGATATGTCTATATCATGCATTCAACCGATGACCCAGAAGTTCATAAAATAGGAATATCATATAACCCACGCAATCGGAAAATTCAACTTCAGTCGACCATTAACAAACACAAAAGATGAAAACCATGAGGTTACTTTGGATAGTCAAAGTTATAGCATATTTGTGTAAGTAGTCCACCAAAAAATTAATACCTTGATATAAGTTAATCTCTTGAATCTGTATGCTTTTTTAGAAGCCTTGCAGAAGATTTTGCTAGACAATCAATTCTTGACGCAGAATATAAACAACACATTCTATTATCCTATCGATAAGAGGTAATCACTAATTAATAACGTATAAATATATGTATTTAAATATACATTTACATGTAAAGCTTTATTATATCTCCGCCAGTCCGATCAGAATACTTTTCTTTTTAGCAAACTCATATGCAGAACACGACATTAATACAAACCATTTGCAATTTGTCCTTTGCAATACAATTGCAAAACCATTGTGGAGATAGGCATTTACATGCGACTAACCACAGGATAAATTTCATGTGGCTGAGTTTAGCAAATTTTCTTTACATATTTTTTAAAGTTCATTACCAAAATTTGATCACAATCTAATATTAAAATTAGTGCAGTCTAGAAAATTAAGAAGGTTCGCTCCATAGATTTAGCAAAAGCAAAACAATTATCTTAGTTTAACTGAAGTGAATTTCTTTGATCTGACGTACATGGTATGGAAGACTGGCTCGTCATAATTGCCAACATAGCATAATCCTCGACAAAATTGTACACTCATTAAGTGAGACGATTATTAGAAAATTAACACCATCAATGCAATTAAAGAATTCTTCCATATTTGAGATTTTGTTATAATAGAGTGAAATCCTTCAGGAGCCCAAAATTTTTGTATTTTTACGATGTGTAACAACTTATATTAATTCTATTAGGAGTCATAAGTCATAATCAAACATGCGTTTCAGCGCTTTCGTTGCGATTTCAATTCTTGTAAATTTCCCGACACAATCCAGAACTATTACTGCAGAAGGGGTAGGTGCTGCAATTCTAGGAGGCATTGACAACTGCACCGTGTCCGAAAAGAACCCCTTTTTATTACGATAATGGGAGTGGAAGTACCCTTGACTCTAATTGTAATACGACATCGGGTTCCGTTCAAGGATGTATCTCCTACCAGAACGGAATTACCACAGAGACCGAACTGAATACAGTTCAAAGTTACACTATTGGGCACACAGCAAAAGGCCCCGACATAGCTCTGCAGATACGATCAGCAACTAAAAAGCTGACTACTACCGAGATCTTTTAGAATGGACTCCTCCTAGCACTCTAGAATGGTTGCGTCTGCAAAACCTGGGATGTACAGCAATTTCAAACATTTTTTTTAAGTTTGGTGGTGAATACTTCTAAGGATGAAGACTATTTAAAAAGAGGGGACATGGCAGAAAAGACAAATTCACCTCTCTGTCCACTAAGATTTTACACGGACATGGGAAATGCTTGATTTAAATAAGTAAATCGTAAATAAAGACAACAGGTACGCGTTTAAATTCTAAATATGTAAACCTGCACCAAAAGCATATTTATTACTCCTGAATACTATCAGATAATTGGTGTTTATATAAGGAAAGTGGATCTGGAAAACTAGTAAATTATTAAGGGTTGATTACGATACAAATTGCTAGTTTCGACTCTATCCATGGTTCATTTTTATCGATGTGGAGCTCACTGTTACAACGTGGGAGAACTAGCCCTTATCCATTATTTTCAGTCTAGACATCATAATACATTATAATATGTAACGATTTATTTTTCAACACCCGAATCAACCGGACAATTAAGTCATACACGTTAATGTCCTAAGTACTGCATTGAAATACCAAATCAAGAAGTATGTAGCAGGTGACAATATTATACTGACATCAAAAGCACATGGACGAAAAATCCATCGCATTAAACAACGCAGAGTATTACTCTTCGTCGTCAGCAGGAAACTTGCAAAACTAGTCTTGTTACTCTTTCTGAACAGCAAGCTTTGAAATTAATTAGCAAGCAGATCATACATTCCCACCTCCAAGATTGTCAGGGGGGTCAGGTCCGTATTTTTGCGAAGGGTATCCCTCGACCCCCGGGCCGAAAACGCGTTTTCCTTTCCACGTACATACCTACTTGCATACACATCGCGAGATTATCTCACTAACATAACCGAACAGCTGCCAGCATTAACATGTTTGGCTCCTGCACAAAGAATGTGGTTAATATCGTTAATCAATTCTAATGATGGTCAATTGAAAATAATTTATCCAATTGTAAATTGTAAACCACTGCACAGTGAGGTCATTTGTCGGCAGCACGAACGAAATTGGGGGTAACGCGTCCATCGCCTAATCCATTACTAAAAAATAGATTAAAAAATCTAGTTGATTTTTGCTGAAAACATGGCGATTTGTCTGGTCCACGTTGAAATAGTTGAAAATAGGTCAAAATTTTATTACAATCGTTTTTTGCATCAACTGTTAAAATTTGTGACAGCTTTTCCCCCTTGTTGTAAAATCAGAAATAAACTCGAGCCCTTGATCCATTTTTTAGTAACGAAATAGGCGGTAGACGCGTTGCCCCCATTTCTTTTGTACATACCTCCGCCAATTAGTCTCACTGTGCACTGGCAAAATGATGATGTGTTAGATGTACTAAATTCGTTTCTGCCAAACTAATGTAATGAATTGTATTTGATACTCGACAGGCCGGATATTAGCTTAAATACCTGAACCTCTGACACACAGAAGGACAGTTTCGTTGTATTTAGTAGTCAGACAGCAAGTTCATATTGTCATGAAAATGATTTCTCAAAAAATTTGGAACCTGGTCGTACAGGAGGAACAAGTTGCATCTTTCTTTCAAGTGTTATTGCAGTTGATAACTTCTGCCCCAACAATTCCCCGAGAATGCTTCCTGCGAATTTCAGAAATTCGGGGAAATCAATTCGATGGACTACATCCAAAGGGATTCTTGGAAACATTCATCTGCTCAGCAGATGACTGTCCCGTTCGCCGGACATTTAAAACAATCATCATATGGACAAAAATCCACCAAGGGTTCTAGGTATCACATTCAGTGTTATTTTGCATCCCATCAGCAAGACGCCTGACGGATTAAAATGCAAAATCTCAGATCTCTGACCACCATTATGTGTTTAGTGTTATTATGTACTTTGCATATTGCCAGCCAAAATATATGCGCAAGTACTTGTAACACATTTCATATTCTTTGATAAATTAACATATCCAAAACTTAGGTAAACTTTGGTAACTCGTCCCATGTATGTACAGGAAAAGTATGAAATTCTCATGACTACAACAAACTCCCCGAAGTAGTTGTCCAACAGAAAACAAACAAGTTCGGATTCAACTACTTCCTATCATCAAACCCTCCTACATCTAATCGACCAAAGTCGCATAGTCATCCATAACTTCCGGGGCTCACAAACTTTGCCTTAACAGATGCACATCTTTTACAAAAGGATTCATCCCTGAGGTGTTCAAGGTTACTAAACAAACTCCACATCAATCCAGTGACTGCAAGGTTTAACCTTCGTATTATTTAGTGATATCTTATATCGACGGGAATTTAATCTTATACCTCGAACATCTGGCACACTTCCACAGCGGAGTGGAGGCATTCTTATCGACAAGGAAGGAGCAAGAGGCGATCTTGTATAGTCCGCTGTAGAGGACCACATTATCGAAATCATTCTTAACCAAATGAAAAAAATTATATGGAAACTTCATTCAGTAACTTCGAAATATTGCATCCCAAGAACGTTGATAAACAGGAAATGGCTGCTCAAATATACGGAGTTACAGCAATCGCAAATTTAGCTGTCAGGTTCCTGCCACCACAAGGATGGCAATTAAAGAATTCCAAGATTTTAGCTATAGCATTTCCGAATGCTCGGAGATCCGAACACCCAACGCCCCTCAAAAATTCCTGAGCATATTGGTGACTCCTATAGTGAATGGCTCATTCAGTACATCCTTAGGAATGATTCCCCAATTAATATTATAACAGACGATGCAGGGCAATGACCACTTAATGATTCAATTTCAAGTTCTGAAGGGGATGCTGCCGATACTCAAAATCTGTTGCCAGAAACAACAACAAAAGAGACATGTGTATATAACGTGATACCTTATATCGACTGGAATTTAAAGTTACACCTGTATTCCTATATAATCGAACTTCTGGTACAATTTTCTCCATTACCACAGCGGAATTTAGGCATTCTTATCGAGAAGGAAGGAGCAAGAGGCGATCGTGTAAAAGCCTCTTGTAAAAGGGGATCAAATTATCTAAATCATTATTAATCAATGAAAAAAACGATTTAGCCAAACGTTGAAGAGTGAAGCCTCATGCACTATATATGATTACAAAGCAGGACTGATTACCAAATTTACATCACAATCTAGCATTAAAATTAATAAAGTTAATAAAATTAAGAAGCTTCGCTCCATCGATTTAGCAAAAGTAAAACAATTACCTTAGTTTAACTGAAGTGAATTCCTTCGAGCTGACGTACATGGTATGGAAGTCTGGCTCGTCATATTTGCCAACATAGCATAATCCTCGACAAAATTGTACAATCATTAAGTGAGACGATTATTAGAAATTTAACAACACCATCAATGCAATTAAAGAATTCTTCCATATTTGACTTTTTGTTATAATAGAATGAAATCCGTAAGGGCCCCAAAATTACTGTATTTTTACGAAGTTGTGTAGCGTGTATGTATATGTAACTTATACTAATTCTATTAGGCGTCATAATGCATTCCAGCGATTTCAATTCTTATAAATCTCCCGACACAATCCAGAACTATTACTGCAGAAGAGGTAGGTGCTGCAATTCTAGGAGGCATAGACTCCGGCATCTCCTACGAGCAACGCGAAAAGGGTGTTGAGGGGTTCTCTAAAATGGATATAATCGAAATCTCGGTATTTTTAAATACATATTTGAGTTCTTGTGGTAAGCTAGTGTCATTAAGTTCCCGTACAGGCAACCATCTAAATATACCAATATACGATATGAACCACTATCCCTTTGCTTGATTTGTAATTGAGTAGGATAATTATCATGATACTATCATTGAAATGGTTACTCGAATATATGGAGTTATATACATCAATCGTAAATTTAGCTGACAGGGTCCTGCCCCTAATGGATAAGGCTACGGCAATTAAAGACTTTAGCTGAAACATTTCCGAGCGCCCGGATTTTCAAGTTCTGACTAAGCTTAGATCCACCCAATTCTGGCCACAAGCATTATGAGATCCAACAGATTACATTGGTTCAATGCCTACGACTCTTGTAACACAAAAATTATAGCCACAGCACCCGGCTCAGCCGATGTGGAACGAGTATTTAATAAACTGAAGCATGTCAAATCCAGCAATACATCTGGATTGCTGACGTCGATCATGGGCAACCTGTTGCGTCTTTCATTGAACGCCTTAAGTCTATCTAGCTTCTACCTACTGCAAAATATGCAAGAATGTGGTTAGGAAGCCACACAGGTGATACCTGTAAAGCTGTGCGAGGGCATACAGTCTCGTTTTTGGCCTTCGGCCGGAAACTTATCTACGTATATTGAGTTTGACATAAATCACTAGCGCAAGAAATTGAGAAGTACTTTCACGAAGGTTCATTTAAAAATTTAGACCTTTTACACCCTTAGAACTTCGAATTAAATGAAAGGGCGAAGATTTGGATGTTAGAATTAAATTTTCTTACATCTAACGTGAAGCTGGCAGATCTTGTTTGTTTTCATGTGTAATTATTTTTGTATGAATTTCATTGGCTTACACTTTTGTATGAATTTAGAGCAAATATTCTGTGTAATTTTTTACATATAATGGTTTGACTTTCGAAGCTTAATTAATATGCAAAATCCTGATTTTAGCTGAAACTGTATTTAAAAATTCATATAAACGGGAAATTAGGCGCATTTAAGAATTTCATTAATGACCTCCTACTTGATTCGTATGTCATTTGGGGGTTATCAAACAGCATGCTATATTTTTTCATCGGAAAAGAATGGAAATATCTATAAACCAGCTTCATCGCACCTCGCAGCTACTGCGAATCCTTTGATAGGCATCTGCATAATGGAAGTCAAGGTCCCGTGAAAGATCTATGTGAGGAATTTACAAATGTTCGGGCACGCATGGTGATAGACGGTAGGGGTCCTGACTGTAATATGTGAGTAGTAACCTTATCATATTATCCGCTAGACGATATACAGTATGTAACAAAAGTATAGCTACGATGACATATTTTTAATCTCGACATGATGCCGTAATATTTCAACTTTGAAACTCCGTACAAAAATGTCAAAACTACCTGCCGACAATTTCCTCGTCGCCGATTTTTAATGTCGCAGATAGGTCAAAGGTCAGGATTAATTTTCTAAAAAAATTTGAGGCGTCGAAAAAAAAAACTTCGTGGATAATTTTTTTTGAACTTTGCAATATTTTTTACTGGATGCGGCATGCGTTTTGAAGAATAATGAGCTTTGGTCGGACCGTGTACGATTTTTTTGGCGCCCACAGGAATTTTTCGCCCAGGACAGATTGGCGGTCTAAAATCGCCGCCTTGGCGAAAATTAAAAAACTGAAATATACGTTTGCATATCCGGACCCTCTATATGCAAACGTATATTTCAGTTTTTTAATTTTCGCCAAGGCGGCGATTTTAGACCTCCAACCTGTCCTGGGCGAAAAATTCCTGTGGGCGCCAACAAAATCGTACACGGTCCGACCAAAGCTCCTTATTCTTCAAAACGCATGCCGCATCCAGTAAAAAATATTGCAAAGTTCAAAAAAAATTATCCACGAAGTTTTTTTTTTTTCGACGCCTCAAATTTTTTTAGAAAATTAATCCTGACCTTTGACCTATCTGCGACATTAAAAATCGGCGACGAGAAAATTGTCGGCAGATAGTTTTGACATTTTTGTACGGAGTTTCAAAGTTGAAATATTACGGCATCATGTCGAGATTAAAAATATGTCATCGTAGCTATACTTTTGTTACATACTGTAACTCTCCAGAGGAGAGACAATTAAGCGGTAGATCGGGCCCATCACGACCTATAAGGGCATGCACAGAAGCTTCATCTCAAGATGAAACTGAAGTTTTTTCGACACGTAATCTTCCGTACCCACTAAAAATGATACCACGTAATACACTCTCATATTTCTAGTAATTTATGCTTTATTAATGTACCATGAACTCGTGTGCTTTGAGGTCAATTAACTGTAAATCGCCAAAAAACACCTACACTAATGAATGATTTTCCAGCAATTCTAGTGTGTCACACCGTGTGACATGCGTCACAAAAAACTACGTAGTCCGAGTGTATCATAATAATATGCATTTCTCTAGCTCAATTTTTTTTTAGGTTTGTCTTTTCTTACATCGAAAAGTACTCCCCAGTGTTACCAGCCGAAAAAATTCATAGTCCCAAAATACATACCCCTAAGCGGACAGGTTAAATCCTGCACTAACCCAAGTGTTTCTTATTTTGTTTCAAGGAGGTATACAAATACGGTTTCAAAGAGGTAAACGGGGGAATTTGGGGTAGAGAAAATTCCTAAGCCTAGGATCTATACAAAAAGGTGTCTCATAAACAGTGGAACAGAAATGCAAGTGAAAGGTCTGCTGCTCATATCTTGTCATTTTTTCTGACAAAATATGAAAGCAAATACTATAATTTCTAGCTGAGTGTAGAAAGCTTGTAAGTCTAACTGGACATTTGCTAACATAACATAGTTTCCTACAAACTTGAAAATTTATGTGAAGAGATTATCAGATTATATATCTTGGGTGACATGGTACAAAGCTATGAAACAAAACTCGTTTGAGATAATAGTTATTTACCACTGTAAAAGTTTTCCAATTTCATGCCCATGGAGGGCGAGTATTTTTGCGATCAATGGATATAATATAGCGTTACTTATTTCCGAATAAATTATAGGCGTATTTTTTGTCTTCCAAATATGGAAATATCTTATCGAAATAAAAATCTAAACATATTCTAAACATAACCTACAGTTTGGTCATAGATTACATTAGAAAGAGACTAAATTAAAAACCGGTACGTATTTCCTGACGTCCAGAGAAAGTAAGTCCACAGGCGAAAATTTACAAGAATTGGATGAACGACAAACGACGAAAATGCTGTAAATAAAGTTATTTCACCAATTAAAATCAGGCAAGCCCTACTTGAAATTTAATTAATCTGTAATTAAAAATATTTAAATGCTTACACATTCTCGGAAAAAGCATATTTCGTCATGGAGTTCTTTGTTGAATAGATTGAATCAATGTTCCAAATTTTTTAAATTAGATGTGTCGAATTTTGTCTTCATTTCTTCACTATAATACTTACATATTTAAGCTGATACATGCAAGTACATGTTTACGCGTATCCCCATCGACGGAGCCCTTAAAATAAATACATCCGTGCAAATGTTTATACTTAGAAGAAACAGTCAAAATGCATACAAACATACGTAACCAGATAATTAATATGCAATTACATGGATAAATACGTTACATGGCGGCGCTTGCATTGCATTAATAATTATGGCGAATGTTGCTTGATGGAGAATTTTGTGCAGTCCTGTCACTTGTCCCCTCGTCCATTTGTTCCTTAAGAATCTATGAAAAATATTAAAATGTGTAGTTACTTAATATGTACCTCACACTTTGGGAGTTGCAATATCCTAATTTATACACATGCGATATGTACATAACGTAAATACATACCTTGCCGTCAAATTTTCGTATAGAGATTTACAAAGATTTGGAAAACGGTTTCGCCAAATCAGGCCTCATTTGATGTCACATTTGTATTATAAACAATTAACACCAGACTTATTACGATCAGTTGCACCAAAATATTTCCCTTGAGAAATAATGGCTTCCTTACTCCTCAGCTGTTGAAATCGAGATGATCACATATAACCAACTAAAGTTCCGGTTAACTTACATAAACCCCAGTCCTGTCTTGTATGTAGTGTATATGTGTTACGTAATATCCTTGTTCTTAACCTCAGTGCTATATGAAACCCCAGTTAATATATGCATATCCAGATACACATCTCCTGGAACACAACGCTTCAATCTGTACATGAGTAAGAATTATTCATTTCAACAACGATATCCACCACTAATTTTAGAATTTAGAATCAAGTATTTTAAGATGTTACTACGGTCAGTGTCTTATGATTAAACCAAATTTTTTGGCGGAGCAATTGCCTTGGGGGGCATTATGAGCTTACAACATGGTGGACATAGTGTGCACAGGGACACAGATTTCTCTGGAACGGGTTGATGGAATTGCACCAAATTTTTTTCATGTATTCTACATGTTAGTATCTCCACCCCTTTTAGGCGTTTCATCGAAATTCCAATTTAGAAATTCAGAAAAAAAATCAAAATTTCGAAAAAAAACCCAAAAAAATTCTTTTGATTTAAAAATACCATTTCAGGTTCCATTGATACTCATGTGGTAAAATTTGATAAAATTTGACAATTTTTGTATAGTTTAAACAAAACTAGCCTAAATGGTGAACATGAAAAATGTTGTGAACATGGACCAACAAGGGACACTCACGACCTGTCGTTTGAGTCCAGGGTACCCACTATGTTTTTTAGAATCTACTAGGACCCCAGATGAAGGATTCATTCATATTTCCGTGTAAAACTCATATTTGGCGCCATGGCGTGGCGCCAAATTCGCCAAATTTGATGGTTTTTCATTTTAAAACCGCCGTAACTTTTGAAATCCTGGACGGATTTTCAAAATTTTTGGCAAAAATCATGACAAGGAGTTCAACTTTCGTATTCTATGAAATTTTTTCCAAAATTATCGCTTTTAACTTTTCGCAAAATTTCGAAATTTCGGGTTCGTCAAAAAAATGCTAAAAAATATCTCAAAAATTAAAATTTTTTATTTTTATTTTTTTCTCTAAAATTTCGACTTTTCTGATCATTTTAAGCATAAAATTTTAAAAATCCGACATAAACTGCAAAAGTTATGGGCGTTTGAAATTGGTCGAAAATGCAAATTTTTAAGTTTGGCGCCACGCCATTGGGCCAAATATGAGTTTTACACGGAAATATGAATGAATCCTTCATCAGGGGTCCTAGTAGATTCTAAAAAACATAGTGGGTACCCTGGACTCAAACGACAGGTTTTGAGTGTCCCTTGTAAGATGATAAACTATGACATCAAATTGTAAGTTAAAATGAGCAGAAAAAAATTATGAAATCATATATTTAAATCTCTAAACTCCATAATAACTTTTTTTTTAATATTCATAAATCAATTGTTATCAGAGTTGTTCATTTAAGCACAAATGGAATTTGTAAACCAAAAGAAATATTTTTTGTTTTTTTTTCAAAATTTCGATTTTTTTTTCTGAATTTCCGAATTGGTATTTCGGGGAAACGCCTAAAAGGGGTGGAGATACTAACATGTAGAATACAAGAAAAAAATTTGGTGCAATTCCATCAACCCGCTCCAGAGAAATCTGTGTCCCTGTGCACACTATGTCCACCATGTTGTAAGTTCATAATGCCCCCCCAGGTAATTGCCCCGCCAAAAAATTTGGTTTAATCATGAGACACTGACCATAGTAACATCTTAAAATACTTGATTCCAAATTCTAAAATTAGTGGTGGACATCGTTGTTGAAATGAATAATTCTTACTCATGTACGTAAAGTTTCATGGTTTATGCGAGTATTTATTACTCTTGACTTTCGTATACTATTTAATTCACAAAGCGATATTTATTGTACAGTATGTTAGTATATATTTATTTATTGTACACAACCTCTCATTGAAGAGAGCATAATAAGACTGCACACATACATACATTTCATGAATTTATGCAGTGATCTTTAAGTTGATTAAGTGGCCTCCCTCAGCTTTAGTGTAGCATTTTCCTGTCAATGTTTGTGTGAAATAAATGTGTCCTCATTCACCACTTGTTAAATAATGTATGGATTTAAAAAGCATTACAGAGATGTTGGAGAGACGCTAACCCATCTCTTGCATGAGTAAACTTTACATCTGTATACACATGTAAGTAAATAAATATGTACATATGCACGATTGCTGATGTGTGCAACTGTGCATCTTTCATGAGAATAAATACAATTATTTTAGAAATTTAAATCAAAAGAATGAAATTTCATAAGGCAGATACTTCCATAAAAATCCGTGTATTGGAAAAACTTAGCTTGACAAAAAGGTGTAGCACGGTTCACGTTTCCAAATATAGACACAAATACATACAGTCAATGGAACAAGTATTGGCAACACCCACATAAGCTAAATAAAATTGGCTGTAACTTTGGCATGCATTATCAAATTAGCATGAAAATTTGTACGCAGTTAGCAAATCTAATGTAGTTTTAGATTATAATCATGTTTTACTGATTAAAATTAGATTAACGCAGTTTTTGAATAATTTGCTGGAAAATTTGCGAAATTAACCCACAAAAAGTATTGGCACCCTCTAACTTAAAAAATCATAGAGCAACGAAACGCCAATTTTACTGCGACAAAGTGCTTCTAGTATTGCGTGGCACCTCCCCTCGACCCAATAAGAGCAGAAATAGGTCGTGGAATTTATTCGACAAGTTCCTATATAACGTTTTTTTATATGGCTGCCCACAGTTCTTTTAAACTTTTGACAAGCTCGTTTTCCGACTAGTGGTTTCCCATTGGTCTCTCTTTTCTTAACCCGGACAATCAGAATCACATCAGGAGACTGTGCAGCCAACGAAAGAATCTTTACCTTTTCGGTCTCCAAAAACTTGCATCGTTAATTTGGCTACATGTTTGGGGTCACTGCATTTTTGGAAATATGAAATTTTTTCCTAGGCCAGGTTTTTGTTAAATGATTTCAAATTATCGTTTGGAATGATTGACAACACCTTCCTGGTCATGATTTCATCGATAGTGACCAGGTAACTACGCCGAGAACTGGTCATTTAACCCCAAACCATAATCGATCCTCCTATGTGTTAAACTGCCATAAGAACGTTTTAGTATTTCTGAGCCTTTTATTGCATCCGCTAGACTTGAACCAATTAATGAGCTCCGAATAAGTAAAATATGCCTATGTCGGACCAGTGGGCCCTTTTTCATTGATCGGAACTCTATTTAGGGTCATATTTAGCCCATTTCGATTTATTGAGGTGGTTCGCTTTGGGTACTCTCGCGTCGGTCGGGCTTCTGGAGCCTGAAACCCCAAGGCATAATTTTTGATTGATCACCATATTGTATGATATGTTGACCCTGCAGTTGATACTCCAATTTAACATGGATTTTTAAGCTGAAATCTTCCGCTCTCGAGTGGTTCGTTGCTTGAGTCATCCTTAGGTTTTGGGCTTAGATGACTTTTTTCTTCCGCATCATGGAAAAGTAGAAACTGAGATTGTCATTTTACATTTCTTTGCTACGTATTCAATAGTAAATATGGAAAAGTATGTTTTCTCTTTGATTTTTCGATAGTAAAGCTTTTTTCTGAAAGAGACATGATTATTTCTCGCCGCGCCAAATACAGCTCGTTTTTTGTCGCCATTTTGGCTCCAGACAACACAACTGTAGACTTAAAATGTAGCTAACCTCATATTTTGTCACCTAATTAACGTACCGTAACGAAATGTGGAAGATGGTTAAGAAAATTGTTTTGAGTAATTAATTTGGCCACATGTTGCCAATACTTTTTGCAGGTTTGCATCTGATTCGTTGAGGTCAAAATCAGAATTGTGTTATGTTTACCAGATATAAATCAGAAACATGATTATAATCGAAAACTACATTAGATTTGCTAAATGCGTACAAGTTTTCATGCCAATTTGATAATGCATGCCAAAGTTATAGCAAATTTTATTTAGCTTGTGTGGGGGTTGCCAATACTTGTTCCATTGACTGTACATATGCATGATTTTCAATATAACATATACAAATGCGTATAGCTATGTATGTATATGTGCATACATATATAATTATTTACGTACTTGAAATATGCATTTAAACATATTCCCCCTGCATCATTTGAAAATCGTTTTGTTAAATTTGATTCGCTTTGTTTTGCATAATTTTTTATGCCAACCAGCAGGACATTTATAATCTCCCCTTACCTGTAGAGACTGAATAAAACATGTTGTCGACATGTGGTAATAGTCACAAGATTAACTCCAAATTCTATAATGTAAGAGTACATGCAAGTCAATATAAGTCACCAGATGCCTGCTGGAGTAAAAATTTTGTTAAAAATAGGTTAAATAGTTTACGCATACACTGTGCAAAATCTGGTAGAGTCAATGTAAAAAATGTGAAATGTAAAATGTCATCGTTTTACATCCATGATCCAGATTTCTGTACTTTTCAACCTTAGATGTTGACTTCTTGCCATAATTTAGTAGCATGTACATACATACTCCGACTGGTATTTATTTGGTAGTAACTTCTTACCAAAATTGGTGAAAGCTAGTTTGTTTTTAGTGGTAAATTTTTCATTACAAATGTATGTATATGATACATATGTATGAAAAATGTGAGCTTGCTTTTTATTGCATTTTTGCACATATCCATGAAATCATTGTATCATATGTATGTATATGTACATATGTATCACATGTACATACGAACTCGCGAATAAGGAAGGCTGATGTTTTCTCCCGCTATGCAGTTTTTGTTGACCAATCGGGAGAGGGTGGAGTCGCCGAGACCACCCTCGGAAAATATATTAAGGACTTGTTGCCTGAAGTTATCAGCCGTCGAACAACTGGGCAAGACGCGCACACCTTCTTCGAAGGCATGAGGTGGGTCGACTCGCCACCATCCGGGGAGACAGTGCCAAAGGATTGGGGGGAAGTCTTGGCTCAACTAAAAATTACCACACCCACACTACGGCGAGTTCCGAAAGGGGCGAGAATGGAAGTTGCTCGTGCCCTAACTAAGGTTTTGGAGGAGGTAATCACCACCAAAACCGAAGAGTCATGGGGCAAACTATTTATTTTCCCCTACCCAAGCCTCCCCGTTCCAC